TGAGGGCAAAAAAAAAACAAAGTGAGCAAAATTTTTGGAGTTTGAAACATGCAAAAAGAAACTAATTAGGAAAATTTTATTAATTTGAGGGTATCTGAATTGATGGTGTATTTTCAGAGATTGATTAAAATTTGGAAAAGATGCACCCAAGGATTGGTTATCTCGTTACGTGGGATGAGGGGAATCAACCCAGGCTCCCGATTTTACAAATACTGTGTCTGACATAAACATGAGACATTGACATAACCATTATTTTTAATGGCTTTTAGGAAGGTAGGAAAATTGTGTCACGTTTTCCTCACTCTGAAGGTACAGGTGGGGAGCCTTGAAAAATGGAGGCCACTTTCTTGCCAAATAGATACCTTTACGCATAAAATACAGTGCACATAGGGTATTTTTTGGAGTAGGAAGAAAGATTATTTAATGAAATTGTCTTCATCTCCAATTAACGTGCTGTGTGTAAAGCCACAGAATTGTTTGACGGAGCTTTCAGGATCCTTCTTGCTGCGGTGGTTTTGTCTTTGATTTCCCTGCATACATTGTTCTCTGAGATGACATCTACAAAAGGGGATCTCGACAGCATATTGCTGCTGCCAGTTCGGGAGCGTTCAGAGGAAATAGAAAGGATCTCTCCTTCTAAACAATCCTGGTTTATTTATCTTTTATTGGTCTGTTAGCAGATGTTGAAGTAGTTCGGGGCACAATGTAAACATGTGCTTTTCAATAGAGGTATGGTAAGTAGCAGAGTATACAATGAACCCGAAGCAATTGGGAGGGGTGTTTTGGACTCGGCCAGCGTTTGTTGCTTTGTGTGCGCGCGTGTGTAACTGAATTTAGAATTAAAAGAAGTGCTTGATCTTTATATATTGAAATCCTCAGCGTGCAGAGTGACAGCATGAGCCAGAAGAGAAAACCATGGCCCCATGTGGTGTGAAAAAAGGAACAGCAGTTTAAGTGCTGGAAAGTTGAAAGAGAACTAACCTTCTTGTTCTCGTCGTCAAGGAAAGTGGCTGTTTTGTGCTTTTAGATTGAAGCGTAGCATATGTGCCTCGGTTTGACAAAAAGCCTCTTGAGTCAAAGCAACCCTAGTCCTGTGTGCTGATCCAAAGCGAAGGCCGTGGTAATGAGGGACGGGCTCTCAGGAAGCAGTGAGTAGATAATACTGCATAAGTGGAGAATTCTGTGCGCTGTTTTCGCCATTCTACTTAATGCAAGTCGCAGCCACGGCGAATCGCTTGCCATACAGCTGAAATGGGCCATTAGCTATCAGGGAAAATTGTCTTTGCTACTTTCAGCAGATGGAGCAAATATTTTACAAAGCAATTTTACATACGAAAAACATTTGTGTTACTTGGTAATGATGGCTGTTTTACATGATGTTACCTTCTATCAGAACGTACTTTTCCAGCTCATGGAAGGCAAAAATGGCACTTTTTAATTTTAAAATTTGCAGTTTAGAATTAAACGCTCGAGCATTAAATCAGGTTGCAAACTTTTAAGTAGGCGGGGTAGTCGGTATGTCACATCTGAAAAAGTTTCAGTTGTGATAAGCATTTCAAATAGTTTTGTTCAGCAGGGCAGATTGTGGTTCTGGTCAGCAGGTACCTGTACGAATTAGAGGAAATGTCATTTTGGTTCAGTTTGCAAAACAGAAAATAATTACATGTATTTGGACTGCAGTTCAAAAGCAGCTACCAGACCTTTTAATTTTGCCATGTTTGCTGGTGTTGCTGAGATCATAAGGATAAGCTGGGCTGCAGCAGTTCACATCAAGGCAGCTGGAATAAGTTATCATAGCCCCACTGATCACAATATAAAGGATATGCTGTATAAATGGTGTGAATTGTCATAGCGCCGTTGGAGTGGCATAAATTGCCATAGCTTCATTGACTTCAACAAAGAACGGGTACTTTGTATTGCTGAGGATGTCATTTTGTTCTTCTTTGGCCCAGTCAGCTTTACTTATTTGGAGTCACTTTCTTCACTCTATTTGCTTGCAAGGTCTAAATAATTTCCTTTCCATCTGATTTTTAGCTAAAAAGCCCCAGGTTTTTCTCATGCATTCTGCTCGGCAGCCTCTTTATGTCCCTAGGTCTTTCTTCCTAGGTCTAACTTTATTTCTTCTTTCTGTTTATTTACTTATCTTCTCAACAGGCTTTTCTTTGTTGACTGATCTTTCTCAAGAAGATTTCCAATCAGTGCCTTCAACATATGCCACATTTGGTCCTATTTTTTTCTTGCAACTGCTACTCTAAAAAAGCCTTTTAAAATTCAGCATGCAGAAGGGTGAGAAATTATTTTGTGTTTAGAGGGAAAAAGGTGTCAATTTTTCATGCTTACTCATCATTATAAAAAGGTGCAAAACATATGGACAGATTTAAAGGTTTCCAAACAACGCAAACAGTATTGGGCTGCTTGTATTTTGCTGGTGCTAAGAAACATCAGCTGAAAGATTCAAACAAACGCTCCCTGTTTACATTCAGCCTATGATTCTGAATTGTTTGGGGCCACATCAAGAAATAAAACATCAGTAAGCTCTGCTGGAGATACCGTCCCATTTAAATGAAATTAGCCTACAGAGCGCTGATCCTTTTAAAAGGTTTGCCTTCGTGAGGGAATGTTGGATCTGGGCTGGTGTTTGCCTACTAAAACTCCCTATAATCAGGATTATTGCCTTTTTAGAGCTTACCATTGCAAAAAAAAAAACCTTCAGCTGGAACTCCAGGTGCTGATCCTTATGAAGCGGCTGCCTGCCTCCCTTCTGTGAATACCTTGATTATCCAGGCATGCCTTGTTAAAAGCACTGCTACAATGGGTTTGATCTTGCCAGAACATTTCTCAGATTTCCTTGGTTTAGTTATTTCTGTTTTAAAAAAAAAAACCAAAAACAGTAAGGTGGCTGGTTTGGATGCGTGCACATTTTGCAGTCAGCTTGTCCAAATGGAGCTTGCAGCTGCAGGGTGCTGCTGAGCTGGGGCCATGGGCACCCACATGGCCCTGCCAGGCTCTGAGCTCATCCTCAGCTGGTGACCCCTTCGGTGCTAATTGACCTCACTGATGCAAGAAGCACTGAGGCTGGTGAGGAAGGACTACAGGAGTTTTTTCTGAGGTCCATCATGTGGACAGACAGTAGTGGTATATGATGTTCCTGTATGTACAGGTGAAGTAAATGGTCTCTGTCTTGCCAGCAGCCTCCATTTATGAACCAGTAAAGTTCATTGCACAATACCCAAAGGCATTAGGGCTTAGGGATGAGGCTCAGTGTGACAGAGGTATTGCTGAATGCACTGACAAGTGCAAACTGATGTGTAGGTCAGCAGCTCCATGTCATTCATCATGGCTCAGATCCTCTCTTCAAAGCTGTTTTTATTTTCATTGTGCAACAAACCACCTGATCTTGCGACTTCTTGCCTTAGCAATATTTCAACATGAATACAAAACAAGACAAGGCCAACTGATACTTGTTCACTTTTCTGTTGCTTCAGTCAGTTGAGGTATCAGACCCCTTAATTTCTTGTTACGGATTTGTTTTTGTAAGGAAACTATAGGTGTGAGACCTGAATCAGGGTAAATTTTGAACTTGGTTCTTGCTCGTTATGTGGTCCTTTGTCTTTGTTATAAACCTGTATATGCTTAGTATATTGGTATACTGACTTAAGCTATTTATTAACATTTCTCTCCAAGGTATTTAAAGTCAATCACTTTCTTTGTCTGTAGTGTATGATAGGAGACCACAATGATCACCATCAGTTCCTCATTGAGGACATAGGAGCCCCACCCCCCTTTTATGGCTGGACAGCCCATGAGAAAGTCACCTTCCAAAGTCTCACAGGCAGGCTGTGCCCAGGACCAAGATGTATCTAAGTCTGCTATATGTGGAATCTGTACCTTCATTATTGGCACATCCTCCTCATTCTGTTAGATAAATTGCAGCAAGATTATTATCAATTTGTATTTTTGGTTGCATTACATCATGTGTTTCATGACAAAGCCGATCTCTTTAAATTCACTGATATGTAAAAAGAGAACGTTTCCTTTTTTGCAGTTCCTAAGTGTTAGCCATAAGGTTTTATCATGTTCCTCCAGAGCTCCTGATAGCATGATTGTGGCTTAGGACGGTGCCAAGATCAGAGGAAGAGTTGGTCATCTTCTGAAGCACAGGATGCCAGAGAGAGAGGATGTAAAATAGAAGCAAAGAGACCCAAGGGAAGCAGGAGAATGCTTATGAGGCAGCAAGGAAAGGAGCCCGAAGCAATAGAGTCAGGGTCCTTGCACTTTATATGCTTGTGTACTTCTGGGATGGTTTTGAGCAGTAAAAGCAATGCAGTTAGTTTCTGTATTTAATGGGGTTGGTTTGTTTGTGTGGTAACACAGTGAAGAACTTGATACAAGGAAAAAGCTAGTTTATCATCTAGAACATGATTGATCAAATTCTACCGTAGATAAAGGCACAAATACACTTCTGAATTTGTTACAAGCTGGAAAATGAAACATTTTAAAAACTTGTGTTTGATTATTCCCTCATTTATTTATTTGTTGTAACTAGAGGGTGTTTGCACTTATATAACAGCTTAAACATAAATAGAGCCAGTAACAGTATGTCTGGTGTATGTGACTATTTCAGTATGCTCAGTTTCGAAATATAAACAGTGTAGAAGTTATTGACTGCTGGTATTGATCACTAAGCAGTTACCAAGTGCTTAGCATTTTCAGTTGCCAGATCAAATTATTGATATAAATTATAATGAAATAGATGCTATGCTGAAGGCGGGGGGTGGAACTGTCTTTCAGAGAAGAACAATTTGCAATAGGAGGGAAGAGTAGTAAGCAGAAAAATTAAAAAAAGGATTCCTGACTGTGGGTAAACAGTAACCACATTTTTTTTTTTTTTTTTTTTTTTTTTTTTTTGCCTGTTGGAGGCCTGGTTTTTAATCACCCCACAAGCAGTTTTCATTTCTGTAGTAAAATTGCTTGTGGTTCTATTTAATTTGTTTCTGCAGGAGCCAGCTTTGGTGAAGATCTCCCAGGAGCTGCCGGGCCTTTTAGCACAGCACGTACAGCCAGTCAATGAGAAACGATTCCCTACATGGGAAAAATTCCTCCAAACATTTCTTAGTCAAGGTAAATAAGACTGCAAAGCCGCTGTTAAGTGTTATAAGGAGTAATTATACCATATTGTATGCCATATTCTTGTTAATCTTGGGCCCATTTAAATATTTATCTCCTTTTATTTCTCCATTACGCTTCAAACGTTCATTTGCGAATGAATTGTAGGCGACTATTCTATCAGTCGTACATCTCATTGAAGAAGTTAACCTGTTTTAATCCTGGCTTACCTTTCTCACACAATTCTGACTCAATAAGAATCAGCTTCTTAATCCTGGGTTAGTTCCAGTCTGAGAGCTGAAAGTCTCATTTGTGTGGTGCTGAGACCTCATCAGCGCTTCCTGTGTTAACTCTGTCATGGCACCTTTGCAGTATCCAACTGATGAGGAACTCAGAAGGGATCCCAGGTTTGTCCATTACAGGCAGTGCAAACAAAACTATCGCTTGGACTCTGCAAATCAGCGTGTAGGAGATATGTTAGTATCCTCTGTTAACGTGGTTTTGCCCCTGTATTTTTATGCCAAATTTTAGACTGAAGAAGTGCAGTGTTTGTGTTTAGGGTGATAACTTTCCATGATAATTCTGCTCTGATATGCCACTGTTCTGTATACTGTGAATACAGTTTTGTACATCCCTTTGTGGAAGAGACAAAAGTGAGGAAAAGCTTTGAACATATCTGGGGGGAAAACGGTGTCAATTAACATAAAAGCAGTTTTTGTTACATATGAGTTCATCCTAAGTTTGAGGCACTGCATTCAGTAATGGCAAATCCAGAACACCAAGCCAAAACGCTTGTGATTTTCCTACAGACCATGCTAGCAGTTGTCAGCTTTTCTATGTTCTATGTGGATAAATACTGAAAGGCAGATGATGCATCTCAGACCACTGTATGAATGGCAATCTCCAAGATTACTCCCTAGCAGGAGATACCGCTCACCAAAGGTCCCAATAATGTCATTTCACTGCTCTTCTGGCTGTGCTGTCAGACAGCCCAAAGGTCATTCCTGTTGCCCAAGAGCATATTCTTCCTGTCAAATATGTGATATAGTTCAATTTTGGAACTGCTTGCAAAGGATCTGCAGATCAAAAGCCACCGGTTGAACCGTTCATGGAGAATGTACAGGAGATCTTCCTCTTCTAAGAGATTTGTGGGTCCTACTATGCTGCTCCTATTGCATTTATTTACTTGCTGTATCTCCATAGCAGTCTTCTCTGCAATGTCTGAGCACAATAGGAGCTGGATGGTTTCATTCTGTGCACTCTGAAGAGCATCACATGTGAATTTGATTACTAGCTTAACTGCTAATTCATTTCTTGCTAGGTGGTGTGATAGAAGCCTTCCCGCTCTCAGAAAATGTCACAAACCTTACAGTGGATATGCTGATAGAGCCAACGGGTGAGATAAAAGTCGTGTCGTCAGGAGACCAGCTCCATGCTGACGGACCTCTGCGATCATCTGGCACTACCATTCCACAAAGTTCTGTTGATCCAGCAGTTCTTAATTCACTCTGCTTAAAAATTGGAGAAGCCTGTAAATCGAAAGGAGTGCTTGGTTACTTCTCAGTGGATTTTGTGACCTTCATTCATCCACAAACAATGGAACAGCAGGTGAGTGGATTGGATGCAATGCGTCATAATGTCCCTCTGAGATGGGGAAATGCCTGCTTTCCTACTTGACTCCAAACTGTTATCCAGAAAAAACTTTGCCCTTCTGAACGCTTTATTTCTGAGCAGTGAGGCACGTGGAGGTAAGTAGAGCCGGTAGTTATTTTAACATTAACATAAAAATTTAGACCTGCTCTGTCCGTTGGACCTGAGGAACCTTTTAAATGTTTTGCTTGACAAGAAACAACCCGACAAAGCCTGAAGGGCTTCTTGCAAAGCTGGATGAGAAGAAAATAATATTTATACTTTTTCCTTCCAGTGAGCGCTTTCTCCAAAAATAACGTCATCCTGCACTAAGCTGATGATTCATGGCTAAGAACACACAGAGTATTTTAGTTTCAAAATGTTCCAAATCTCTTGTATTTTGCTCTGCAAAAGAATAATTGTAGGGATTGTTTTTGAATTGATTTTGAATAAGACTGTGTCTCTGTAAGAATACAGATGCAATTTGAGGATGAATCTAAAGAAGAAATTATATTGACGGTTCTTTCTGGCAAATAGGATGGTGGTGGCAGGGCTTCTACCCGTGCTGCACAGGCTCTGAAAGGTTTTATCTTCACCCTTGTGAAGCTGTGAAGCCTTTGTATGCATAGTATAGGAGTCCTCAGCACAGCAGTGTGAGATGTCATTCCAGCCTGAGGCCACACACCACTTTCTGTTGCAGCACAAATGTGCGTGCAGTCAGTAATTTGTTTGCTTTAGAGTATTTCAGAATGTTTTTGTAGAAGATCAGCAAATCCAGGTACTGTGTGACACAACAGGAAATTCAGTTTTCTAGTAGTGTCTGACAGCATGGTTTCTCCCAAACTGAAAGCTTCACACCATGGACACATATTGCACTGATGTAGGAAGAGATGGGTTTTGAGGGGTCTGGACTATACAATATAGCATTTTAAATTATGATATTTCAAGGTTAGCACCTCAAATTTCCTAGAAAGGTAAATGCTACTAGGAAAGCAGTGTAGTTTTGGAGTGGTGAACGATGTGACTTACAACAGACATAACTAAGCAAAATGGAAGGGATTAAATTAATGCTGCCATGGAATCCTGCCCAGGAGTGTTCTGTGTGGATGAGTAATGGGGTCTTTTAAATGGCAGAATCAGAACCATTCAAGTGACCCTAATACTTCCTGCCGGTATTTACAAGCCCGTCAGTAAAACCACAGTCAGCTGAATCAGAACTTTTGACAAGATAAAAAATAATGTAATAAATCAAGACAGGAGAAGGGTATTGACTCCAGAATCTGCTGCTGCCTGCAGTGCATGGCAGGGAAGCAGAGGAGTGGTGGCCACTGTCCCAGCACACTCTGCTTTCAATGCCAAGGAACAAATATGTAAGAGAATGGATTTAAAGAAATAACTGTAGAATTATTATGATTGGAAAACACCACTAAGATCATCTAGTCTGACTGTAATGTAACCTCTGGCATGAATGCTGATGATCAGTTTTGATCACAGTTTGTACCAAATATTCATCTTGCACGTTTCTATGTTACAGTAACCTGGCATTTGTTTGATTTATGAGGCCAAATTTCCTTGTCATAATGTGATCTATCAAGTTCTTTCACAAGTCAGATGATGGGAAAAGCAAATAAAGGGCATTTTTGAATACTTCAAATGGTTTTATTTTTTAAGCAGAATGAACTTAAGAACAGTGAAGCCAGGTTTCCCATAGATTCATACCTTACATTAAGTTCCCGTATGTTCTCCAGCAGAAGTCACCCCACAGCCTTTCCCATTGCAAGCTCACCAGAAAGGTTTTTTTCCCCTACCCAGCTACCTATTTTAGGAATCTCATGGGAGATTAATATATCTGAAATTATTACTTTCTTGCAAATTTGGTTGGTACTGGCCAAAAGGGTTGAATGTTAAGACAGATGTACAAATGTAAAGCATAATTCCAGACTAAAAGTAAAGGAAGATTTGGGTGAGGAGGCTGAGCTTTCACTATTTGGGTAGTGGTCTTGTGCTTGAAGACTAAAGAAAGCGAGATATTTTAAAGTAAAATGTTTCCTGTTAGTGATGGATAGTGGTGTTTATAAATTCAAAATGGGTATTTGCACGCGGATGTGAATTTAAGATCTCTGCATCAAGTCTCAATTACTTATTTTATTCCCAAAGCATCTCCTTGGTTTTTAGGTCTTCTGATACTGTTTGTACACTCACCTACTTATCTGAGCAAGTTTGTTGTCTTCTACAATCTTCAGTTACGGCCTTTACTGTTAGAGAAACTGTTTAACTGTAAAAGGAAACATGTCTCTTCTTCATGGGATAAGCAATGCTGCATGGCTGGACTTTCAGAAGATGGTGTGTCTGTATGCACTCAAATCTATCTGGGTGTCTGTTTCTCCTGGACGCCTGAAAATCACGGCTTGTATGGTACGAGAAAAGGCTTTAAACACAGGGCTTGTATTTAAAACCCAAGAGTTAGCATATGGTATCCACTGGCAAAAGCTGGCTCTTTGGCAGTGCTGTGATAATTGTATTCCATTTTAAGCACGGAGGAGGCTTAAAATGGGGCTTTTGGTAAATGATTCTGCTATAGGGTGACTGTGGTAAGCCAGAGAAACAGAGAAATCTTAAATACAGATTGCAGTAAAGTTTGAATGCCAAAATGTATTTGCATAGGCATTGTAATTAGAACTGTGGGTGAGCCATATCAAATAACTTCCTTGTAAAGTTGCTTTATAGAGATCAAGAGGTGACATCCTCACCCACTGAAGTCAGTGGGAGTTTTGCCAATTGCTTTGCTCAAGTTAGGAGTTCACCAAAATGCAGAAATGCTTCCTAAATCACTAAAGTTGTGGCATTTCCTGGCATGAACAAGGACGTTTTAAATCAATCAATGTTTATTGTGGTCTTCTACTATTCCTTTCTGTTCTGCCTTGGCTTTCTTCCCTTGTTTCTGATTGATTCTACCTTAATATTTCCTGTTTGTCAGCATGTACCACAACTTTAACATTATTTAAGCACAGGTTTTTAAATTTAACTAGTTACAGAGGCAATTAATGATGCCATCTGTCTTGTGAGAGAGAGATTACACAAAAGATTGTGCTCCTGAAAGCACTATTTTTTTTTGGCAAACAAGAAATCCTATTAGACTCCCAGAACATTTGCTCACTAATTCCAGAAGTGCCCGTTTTAATGCAGTAGCTGAAAGGCTCAGATACATTTCCTGGAAGTGTAGTATACTCAGGCGTTCTTTCAAAGTTATATTTTATGGAAAATATCAACTGATACATGATATTTTCAGTAAAGCTAAAAATTAAATATATCATTGAACATCTGTTACCGGTATAGTCTGAGTATTTAAATACTCAAAAATCCCTGAATCCTTTGTAAAGTTACATGCCACATAAATACAACTCTTTAAGGAACGTGAAGGGCCAAATAAGTGAGATCATCTTTCTGCCTTTGCAGACTGAGGAGCTGCATGCTGCAGTACCTGGCCTCACACATGCTCACCCTGCATGCTCCCACAAAGGGGACTCTGGAGCAGAAGACAGATTGGCATGTATTTCAATTTCAGGCTCTTCACTCTGGAAGTCTTTAAAAATCTAAATGCCATGTAGCATAAATTTGATATGAGCAACAAGGCATTGCTTATAACATTTTAAAACATTGCGACTGTTAGCTAGCACATTCCCTTGATGTGTTGTTTCCTTCTACACGTTGTTATATCGCTGTGTTCCCCACGGGAAGGGACGTGGATCTGTGGCATTTCCAGTGTCTGAGGAGAAACATGAAGTGTGTGATGTGGATCAAGTCACTTCTACCTCCCCCTGCATTCTGACTGATCTTCAGGAGCACGGCCTTGACCCTTTGAAGTAAAGTCCTGTGTAGTACTGACTAGAAGCTTTTCTGCTCCCAGCTTGTCACAGAGCTGCACCTGAATAAGTTTGTTTCATTGAGCAGGGCTGCTGGAATGCACAAACTTACATCCATAGATGTGTGGTCAGATAATTTGGAGAAGCTTGGTCTTGAGTCACCTTTTGTAGCGGTCTGATGGATTAGACAGCTCCGTACCTTTTGCAGCAATAGCAAAAGAGCCCCGAGTTAGGTTGCTTATTAAGGAGCAAAGGGATAGCACTGTCCCAAATGCCCACAGAAGTCTTGAAAGGACTCTACAAAGTGGAAGTAACTCCAGCAAACTGTGTGGAAGAAGATCTCATGGGATTCTGTTAGAGATGAGATGTGCTCTCCGTGGCTCATCAGTCAGCTCTGGCGCTAGCGTTTAATTAATGCTTTGAGGGATGCATTCTTCTGTATATTCACACACGCATCCTAAAATTACTCCCGTAGTTTGTTTGTTTGTTTTTCTTCACAGAATTCAGCGGTGTTATTTTCAAACAAGAGCTGCGGTTTTCTCCTTAACCGCCTTCCAGTCTTGAGCAGGGCAGCGTTTAGGCACAGTTTGGTGCTCGGGCCCAAGAGCTGAAGTTCTCCGGCAGCACCACTGCATGCCGGCAGCAGCCACCAGATGGCGGCCGCCCCAGCTCCTGCCCGCCACCGCTGCTGTCTGAGCAATCGTGCTGTGTTATGACAGTCACTAAAGGAGCTCTATTTTCAATACCCCAGTAGAGTTAATATTTTACTAATTGACATTTTTACAGTGTCATTCAACCACTTCTTTAAAAATAGCAGGTGTGCTCTTTACCATAACGCAGACATCGATACTCGATGCAGATAAAAACAATTATACTGGATAAAGAAAAGCTATAATTTAGCAACTGTTTAAGAATTTATGTTTCCTTTCTTTCTCAAGTTCATGTTTTAAAGCCAAAGCATTTTTATGGTGGTTGTAAAGAATTACACTATCACTATCACTGTGACTTGTCTGCATAACAGAGCAGCTCCGGACCTGGAAGAACAGCCAGTAAGTCCTGTAGGATATGCAGGATGTGCTTTTAACTGCTCTTTTTAACATGGATTTATCTAAAGCCACTTTTGAGATCTAAAATCTTAACCCGTGCCCTCTACTTTTTCTTTATGATCATAAGTCAGTATAAAAACACAAATCTGGTTACCTCTGAACTCTCATTTGTTTGAAAAATCAAATACCTCTTCTGGATTTCACAAGCAAGCTCTGCTTCAGTTTGACTTCTGAACACATAGGTGTCCCAAAAGTCCCCAGATCTCAAGTTAATGCTGTGTAAGCTGTGCTAACTTGCCGTGCAGCCTTATAAGGATGCCCTTATTGTGTATATCCTGAAACAAGGAGGATAGTATTAGATATTTGTTAAGCTATAAGACAGCATCACTGCTTTAGCTTTACTTACACTTGACCCTTACACGGGCCTTCTACTAATGGCTTCTGATTTCCTGGAGGAGATGATAACTCAGCTGGTTATTAACTGCCTGACCTCACAGACATCACTTTCTAAACTACAGAGATAGATTCATAACATAAAACAACAATAATCCAACAGGCAACAAACCTCCAGCTCAGATTTTCAAGGCGTTCTAGACACTTCTGGCACTTGCTTTGTGTGACTTTGAAGAAAATGGTGCTGAAATGCGGTAGGTGGTATTAGAGTGGAACCTAAATGAACTTTCTGCCTGCTCTGCTCAGAGAGCAGCCCAAAGCACTTCTGCTGTCTGTTCTGCCTGCGCTAGCTCTGTGGAGCTGTTGGACTGCTTTGAAAGCTACATGCCACAAAGAGGGAGATGCTGATGTTTCTAAGGAATTGTTTTTGTTGTTTTTTGCACGTCCCTATTAGCAGATTTTTCAGTTGTCTGTTACAGATAGCAATGTCTCATCCTGCTTGTTTCACAGCATCTCTCTACCCCATCCCTACTCTAACATGAGAGGTTTTCCTCAGTTCATCTTCACATCTGCTGCTGATGGCAGCTCTGGCTGTACTGATTTTGGTTAATGTTCTGCATGCCAAAGAGCACTTGTGAAGCAGTGGCTATATGTGATTTTGGCATGAGGCTGGTAACTTCTTCATAGAAAATGAGAAGTCATCAACTATGGAGTCTACCTAATTAGAATCCTTTAGACACGGATATAGAGGATTCTGGTGCTTTTTTTCTTTGTTTATTACAATTCATTTTAGGTCATTACACTCAAGGGACACCTGCTAACTTCAATATGGCCAACATGTGCTTAGTATGATAATAATGAGCTACCTCTTTCCATTTGGGAACATATATTGATCTATTATTGGTGAAAGATGCCAGACTGATAGAGCCAGCAAACAGATGTCCACTGCCAGTTCCAGAATAAGAGCACTGTAAAGCAGCTGTATAGCTCTTGTCTTCACACAGCTCCACCAGCCAGACTCAGGTCTTCCATCCTTGCTTGAGACCACCAGAGACACTGCCTGTTTTTAACTGCTGTAATTTTGCAAAGAGCACTTATGACCTTCACGAACTGGAGAGAGACTTAGAAATCATTCCATTGAAGAATTTGATCAGCTAACTAATGATCTGGCTTGCATCTGAACTAATAACATTGAAAAAAAATTATCTTGTTCTAGTCTTGTGAACATGAAGTTGCCCAGGCCCTGTGTCTCGTGTTTTTGTACAAAGGGAGTTTGAAGGTACTTCTGGATTTCTGTGGCAAAAGGGAATCCCCTGCTAGGAAAAAGCTGGAATCTCATGCCATCTGATCCTCTTTTCTTTCTCTCTGTATTAGAGATGATCTGGGACATATCCAGGACAGAAAGGTCCATGGCTACAATACTGTGTTCTGCAATACTCCTGAGCCAACAAAAGAATCCTTGGGGGTGATCCCAGCTGGCATGCGTTAATGACCATTTGGCTGCTTTAACTTGCATTAGGGGTGGTTCAGCCTCAGGCTCAGGCCCAGAATAAAAGGAGGTGGACAGGTGGGTTGTAGCCATGTTTGTCTTCCTTCCCATCATGGTCAGGGCTCTGGAGATCTACCCTTGTTTTTAAGAAAGCAAAACATGCAGTGATATCATCATTGTAAAATGCACCTGCTATGACTGATCATATATCTATAGAAGGGCTTGGGTTGGATGCTGAAGTAGCTATTAGTAGCTGTCCTCCTGTACAGTGTTGAAGGAGAGAATCAGGTGTGGGGAGGGGAGGAAAGGGCATCTTCCCCTATTTCATTCACATTAGGGCTGCCAGACCACTCTGTTAATGAGAGCCATTAGTTTTGCAGGCAAGGGTATAAGGCTGAGATGTCCACGTCCAGGTACTTGATGTCCATGTTAGTGACAACATAAGATTTGTTGAGTAACTTCTGCAGAACATATAAGCTATCCCATGTTCTGTGTGGTTTGTCTGAATCTGCCAGGACGTAATGAATTTGTTCTGTGACAATGACTGCTTATGTTTGCTTTATCTGCTGTTAAATGCCCAACCCATTCTCTATGCACTGTCATAACACAAGCTTTGTTCTCACTCATGCAGATGTGCTACAGTCGCACTACATCTTTGCTTCTGTGCTTTTCTATCTCAGCTGCTTTATGGTCCGCCTTCAGTCTAATTTGCCTTCTGCCTTTCTGCTTGTGCGTAAGCAAAGGTTCCAGATAGTGCTGCCATTGACTTTGAGCTTGGGAAGCACAGGTGTGATATCAGGTCTGGATTCAGAGTGGCTAGTTCATTTTTCTGTGCTGATGAGTAACCCTTGGAGAGCAATAAGCCCTGCTCTCCTCACATAGCCTAGCCAACTCTTCTGGGGGCAGAACTTTAACCAAGAATCCAAAACCCAACTCAAACAAGGTTCAAAGCATGTTTGCTACTACTGATCTGTTGATAATATTTATGGAAATGAATGTAACATGTTTACTGTATGCATAGTTTATAATTACTACTTATTGAAAATGTTAGCTCATTGAAAATATTAGCACATACTGGAAAAGTAGAAATTGATAGGAAAGTTCCTTCCTGTCTTGCAGAAGTGATGATAAAGAATAAATTATTGAAGAAAATTAAGCACTGTAATTGGTGAACATTCCCCTTTTACTAAGTAAAGCCAGCTATTAGCATCCGATTTGCATTTTATACCGTGCAGCAGGAAATATTTAAGTTGACAAATAGGATATTTAATACAGCACCAGATACTTGGCAGTTAGTTATTAACAACTGTTACTGATGTGATTTATTCACCATTATAAAAAGGGCATTACTATGTGAATATGATTCAGAAATTAACTTCAGTTTACCAAGAGGCCTTGACTGCCTGACCTCTTAATATCCTTATAATGATGCCATTTAACATTCAGAGGCTTATTCAAGTCATTCACTGCTAGATTTGTTTTAAAAGGGTCCACTGTAGGGCAGATATTTGTGTGCATTAACATTTCTCATTGGCATAGTAGGCACGAGCATTTTTTAAAAGGGAAAAACTCATGAGTAAAGCCATGCTCAGGTTGTTGGGGCAGAGGAGAGTCACAGAAAGAATTTGTGGTGCTCCATTCTCCTACTCCCCACTAATCTTGCAGGCTTCCATAGGCTCTAACACTTTGAAATCCTCTTGGGGGTTCTGTGAGATTTCTGCCATTGCCTGCGAATGTGACCTGCATGTAGGTGGGTTGGGCTTCTCTCCTACCTATCTGTGCTACCACAGGCTCTGATAAACCCAAGCGGGAGCAGATGCTACCCAGTTGGCAAGGGGCTTCTTCGTGGCCAGTGAGACTCATACCAATGCCGTGTTGCTGATATTGCAGGTTCTTGCACTGAGAATTGACCTCTGTTAGTACAGGATCTCACAGGCTGGTGCAGCCTGCCAAACCACAGCATGCTTGAGGCCAGGGGCACTTCTGGGTGCATCTGCTCCAAGTCCTGCACCCACAGCAGGGTGCCCATGTCCAGGCCACCTGGGAAGATCTCCAAGGAGGAGACTCCACAACCTCTTTGCAGGGTGCAATAATGTGTAATCAGGCAGGATGGATGTGCCTGTGTTTGAGGTACTCCTGCACACAGATTCCACTCTTCTCTACTTCTTTTACTCTGTTAAACTTTACCTTTTAGAACTTCCTTTTTTCTATCTAAAAATACCTATTTGTTTGACTTCGTTTAACCTTAATTATTCTTCAGTTAAAAATTCAGGTGCGATACTTAGTATTTAGATAATTACCTATTTAATGTGATGCATGTTTCACAGCTGTTGAGTTGATCTATTTACTTCTACTAATCCTTGCTAAAACCTTGGTAGCACAGGTATCTGACTTCCCCTTAACCTTTCAATTCTCACCAAGAAATTATTTTTGAAGTTTCTTGGGAGTTCTGACTGTTTTACTGAGGCCAGTAATGCAATAGCACAAGGGAACCTTAAGTATACATTTTCAACATGTATGTAGGAATAGATGACAATTGCTGAATCTCACCTTTCTTGTTCTTTTTAAATGCACCTGTTTGTGTTTGATCAGGTATGGGCAACAGACCTTGACCTTTGCTATAGTGACCAGCTGGCCTTGACTCAGCTCACGCTGTATGTGTCAGATGGAAACCTGGATTGTTGCTCTGGCCTTTCTGCAGTACCTCTTGGTTTGAGGCAAATGAAAAGCCAATGCACTCAGCTCAAGGAGACAAAAACAGTAAGCAGCGATTTGTTCACAAATAAAGCTATTAATATAAGTTACTGAAAAGTTAAAAATCTGCTCTAGATCACTGCTCTGAAGGAGCTGAATAGTAGAACTGCTGCTTTTAGGTTTTAGAATGCTAATAAAATAAATGGGATACTATTGCATTAGAAATTAAAATAAAGGTTCTGAATGCCTATGGGTAGTTGATTATTTATCCTTTGCACTTAATAACATTGTGATAGCAACTAGCTTCTAAATAAATATCTTTCAAGTTGTAAAAAAACAAGTGGTTTCTAAGTTGCAAGAAAAAGGGAGGAGCTAAAAGCACTGCTCTATAGGAGAGACCAAAAAGCAGTCAAGAGGAAATCCGAGCCTTCAGCTCACACACTGTGATTTGGAATCAGAATTCAGCACTGAAGTTCTACCCCAGCTTTGTACTTTCATGCACAAAGCTAAGTGTGCAACAGTCAGGGCTACATCCATGGAAGGATCCAGATGTGTAAATCCCTCTGAGCTCACACTTATGTTAAACCCAAATGTTGGTTCTCAGAACCTTGGTTAAGTTCTGCACAGCACTGGAGCCACCTAGCTATTCAGTATTAATTACGGACACAGCCATCTGAACAGGAAGAGCTCTTAGCATCCTGAGCTCCTTAAGCAGGAGCATGCAGTTGTATTCCCCTTTCCTTGCTCTCTCTGGACCAGTTACAAAGCCTAAGGGGCAGAAGGAAGCAGTTCACAGGACAAAGCAGGACATTCGAGTCCTGCATTCTCCCCTGCTTGATCTTACTGCTCTTCATTGCCAGGTGAGACTCATCCACACTCAGTGCTACATGCTGTGATGCACACAATGCCCAGGTGTTGGGGGTTGTAGGTTTTGTTGTGGTAGCCAGGCATTTCCAAGGTAGGAACTGGAATGCTGTGACGTGGCACTTGCTGCTTCCTGTCAGTCTCACTTTAATCTCTCTGAGTAGTCTAAGTTGTGTCCACATCAGTGCTGTACAGGGATGTGAGTTTACAGAAGATATTTGTATATTACTTTGAACCCTTAGCAACCTACCATGGGTGCTTTCGTGGCTAACACAACTATCTTCTATTATGGTGACCTGTTAGATTAAAATGTTTATTGGTGGAGGACTTACTTAATAAGACTTCTCAACATCGAGACTGTCCCTCTAAAAGGGCAGAAAGACCTTTAGGAAAGTCAGAGATTAAAAAGTGTATGCAGGTATGTGTAAGAAAGACAGATGCTGCTTTTACATATTTTGACTGAAGAGTCAAAACTCCTCTTTTTCTGACAAAGAGGAAGAATGTAGCACCATCCAAAGATGTCATGGATCTGTAATTCAGAGGTTAATGAGCTCTTGATCTATTGGTTCTTGTCAAGTAACCACTTCTAGTTGGAGAGAAGTAAATTAGATATGATTGGTCCCAGTAGTACAAGTTTTAGAAATGAAAAGTAATCAAGTAGCAACTTTTTTTAATTAAAATTCTGTCAGAATTAACATAAATCGTCACCGTATTCTTTATTTTTCTTCCTCCTTCTGAGGTTTTTATCTCCTTAAGAGTTAACTATAAAAAAGTGCTCTCTCTGAAAAGCATCTTTAGGGAAAAACAAACAAAGAGACAAATGCTTTTACAGCACATGATCTGTAATGAATGATTAAGTAAAACACTTTGTGTGAAATTATGATGTTAATAATGATTCTGTCCCTTTTAATTTATTATATATTCTCAATCCTAGTAGGTTTGATTTTGATAAAATGGAGCAGCAACTCAGTTTGTGTCATGATATTATTTTTAGAAATCCTTCTTTGAAAGAACAAATTTCCTAGATACTGCTGCTACTGTAATTATGTACAAAACCAATCACTCATTATAGTTAGGATACATTATCTTCTAGACAGATGAGGCTAAATAAGCAACACATTAATAATTCATACTGCAGTTCATTATGCATGTGTATGCATGCTTTGTAGCTGAAATAAGCACCTCATCAACCTGATGCCAACCCTTAAACAATAGTTCTGTGTTATTGCAGCCACATTCAAGTTTACGCTTGTTAAACTGCTACTTGGATTATTTTATCAAGCATTCATTTATTTGTGGTCCCCTACTGCAGAGAACAGATTTTGGAAGCTCCTTTTTTAAGTTAATGACTTGAGCAATGGGTGTTATTAATTCTCAGAATATTATAAACATGATTAATTTTCAGGCAGAGATGTATTATATAAGGATTTCAACTATGTCAACTTAAATGAGTCACTGTCAAAACAAATATTATTTTGGAGAAAATACTGTAAATTACACGCTTCAATGTGCAGCATCCTCACTCCGAACAGAGTCCAGTATTCAAAAGAACACTACAGAAAAGCCTTCCCTAGTTTAGGAGAACATCTCTATCAAATTCTATGCAATGCAACATTTCTGTTCTCCAGGCTTAAGCACTGATTGAGCTTGAACTCAAATGCTGTACTGACTTTCATCCATAGCACACACCCACTGGTACCAGCTGAATAGCTCCATGGAGTCACTGAGCTTGGGCAAACACTTACAGGAAAAAGATCACATGCTTAGTCATGAAGTCAGCACTTGAAATGTCACTAATTCTCTAATTCTGTAGTTTACTTCTGTGATATACAGGTTTGTGTACAGTGTAAGGTGAGGATTTAATTTCACTGCATGGAAATGCCTATCTGCAATAGACGTTGTTACAAATTCCTCCAGAAGGAATCAGTGGCCTTAGTTCATGCTTACACTGGTGAAACTGAGGGGAAAAAAAACCCTTTATTTAGATAGAAACATCTTAGTTTCTGATATAAAATGGCATGAAAACAGGGAAACTTGTATTGTTTTCTCCAGCCTTCTCCAGGAAGCAGCCGCTGTGCAGTAGCAAGCAGTCAGCTGAGGCACTCCAGTCTTTCAGTCATCTACTACAGTGTTCTCCTCCAGATGTGTAAAGCTCATGGTATTGGATTTGACCTCCAGGTATGAAGACTGCAAATCATGATATTCATTCTGTATAATTTTTGTATCTAACTTCTCATATTGTGAAACCATGTGGAAAAAGGTAAAGTTGAAGTATATGGTTGAGCATAATATTGAGTTCTGCTGGAGCCAGCTCCTTGCTGTGTGTTTAGACTGGAGTTATGTTGAAGAGGACCTATAAGAATACATCACCATTAATTTTATTTTAAATTGCTATCACGATGCTAATTAATGAACTTTAAGTTGAGTGAAAGTCTTCACCTGTTCCTGCAAAAATTACTCTAGTATTACATCCGACACCTCGTAGCTTACTTCATCTGGGATATGAGTCTTGAAAAACCACAGTACTGAGATGTCTGTTGCTTTGGAGTCTGCCTGGAAGCAGCCAAGGATGAAGTGTGTTACCACATGTTTAAATTACACACCAGGGAGTGAGACACTGCTCTCCTGGAGACTACAGAGAGACGCTCTCCTGGCTGGTTTATTTGCACAGAATGTGGGCAAAAAGGATTATAGCCGTCAGCCAGGGGCTGTGCTTGGGCTTAGGACAACACTAGCACAGAGTTTTCACAACAGCACTTGGCCTAACAAGGCCATTTCACATGTATGTGTACCCATACTATAAAATACACCTTCAGAGGCAAAAAGGTCAGGTGACAAGGGAGAACAGGAGAGGCATGAAGAAATGAAAATGCAGTCTTTGCTAGGAAGGGAAGTGCTTAAGGCTTATGAACAGAATTATACAAGGAAAATAATAAAATTTAAGGAATATAGAAGGTGTTGGTGGGACAGAAGAGCAGGCAAGAGATTTCAGATCCTAGGGCACAGGGTTTCATTGGGAAACACAGAGTTTATTATGTTTCCTCAGTATAAATTCTCCCCAGGAATGGCACCTGTTCATGAGCACTCTCACAGTGCCATATGATAGCTGTTGCCAGTGCACTTGTGAGCATCAGGCCCATGATGAACACAGCAGAGGTTAATGAAAGTTCATGCCCTGTGTTTATCAGAACAAAATTTAAGAACAGGAAAATCTAAACTTTTTCACTGTCTAAATTAAAGCAAGGATAAAGCTTTTAGAGGTTAACTTGTCTCTTGATAATAAAAATTGTCTCTTTACACAGTTGTTATATAAGGTTCTTATGACCATCTCTTGTTGCACTAGAACAGAAGTATCTCCTACTGAATGGACTTTGATGTGTGTATTCTTTTTAGATGAAGTTAATACATTGTATTCTCCACAATAATTAGAGCATTAATCTACTTAACTGAGCAGTAATCCATTGCAGACAATTCCAAACTACTCTTTCTTAGATATGATGATTTACTTACTGTCCAATGTATTTGTCATAATTATCACTATGTTAGAAATAATTAAAGCAGATTTGTCTTTCTATTTCACAGGAAAAACAGGGAACTGTTTTCATATTGTATGATGATCAGAAGCGATACAGATTGGGAATGATGTAAGTAAACACTGTCAGTTGTGCAGACTGATAAGCAGCTGGGAACACAGCTGATCTGAAAAGAGTGGCACCACAGTGTGTGCTGGCATGGGTTCTAACAAAAGTCGTGCAGAAAACAAACAAGTGTAGAGACTTCGGTACTTTCACACCTCTGGGAGTTGATTTGGCTCAATAACTCAGCTGAAAGTTGTCTTTCATTGGATTAATTTTCCTTGAGGCTAAAACAGAATGAGTGCAGAGACAGGTAGATAGCAAGTATGGGAGTTATGCAAGATAAATGTGGAGAAACTGAAGACGAGATCACTGGTAAACTGTTCTTTTAGGAGTCTGCGAGCTGCTGGAGGTTGTTGAGGTTGTCCCCACCTATGGGATTTCACTTTAATTATTAGCCGTGTGCCTTGGAAAATAGAGCCTGTATGTTAGAGATACTGCATCCTACCTACACTCTTTCTGACTCCTTTAGGATAATACTTCAGAAGTTGCTCCCCTTGGTAAGAAACACCACCACCTCTGGGATCGCCAGCTTGGGTTGCCAGTTGTAATAATAAATTAGTAAGAACGCCGTCATATATTTGCCATATTTTCTGATCCTAGATTGTCTTCCACTAGCTTTCCAGTGCAATTTCATTATCTTAATGTGGAATTTTCAAGGATATAATGTGATAGGACATCACCAACATACCTAAAGCATCTGTATAATCCATTTTGCAACACTGGAGATCTATTGTCAGTTCCAGTGAGCAAATGAGGGACACTGTTCCTCAGAACGATATCCTATTCCCTGACAGTGTGTACCGAGAGTCTGTCTGTAGCACTGAGAAACCAAACCCTCACAAGGTAATGTTTATACTTCTAAGAAGGATACAGCAATCTAAGAAATGCTGACACTGCTGAAATTCCTATTAGATGTCTGTCACAAATTGCAGGCAGATTTAACAGTTCTTCAAAACTAATCCAGGTATTTAAAGTGTTCTGATGTCTCGCTCCTAACTCAATGACTGTCTTTTACTTGGAATAACTGAAACCTTTCTGCTTACTTCTGCCGTTGATTAATAAAAATTATTTATTACACAAATCCTTTCTGTTGACAAGTTAAAATGGAGCCTCATCTTTCATATCTCCCTGAAGATTGCCACCTTGTGAGATTGAAAATCCTCATTAAATTCCATCACCAGACAGGCACAAATGAGAGGGCGATTGTTTTTAAGCATGTGAAGGGAATCATTGGTAAACTCATTTGTTTGGATATCATTAACAGAACAATCGGAGAGGATCTCCAGGGGGTCCTCATGACCTTTGCTCGCAATCTCTTCATCATCCATCAAGAAATATCAGCACCTAATATGCAAGGCGAGACCAATTTTAAGGTGAGGTGTTAATTAACTAACGATCCTGGTTAATTTCTGCACAAGGGCTGAAAATACCTCATGCTGTATCATAAACAAGTGCTAAACCATTCCTTTCTTATTGCTCGCAGTATGTATTTTACAGTGTCTAGGTCAATACAGTAAGTCTCCCAAGGAACCTGTTAGTTAAATTTAAGTTTGAAACTTTTTCTTTGAGAAGAGACATACTCCAGCTTGAAGTCATTTACAATGCAGTGCTCCTGATTTTCCCTTGTAAGAAGCAAAGGAGTTATTGGCGCTGCTTCAGACAGTTCTGTCTCAATTGTCTATTTTATCTTAAGGAAACATCATCAAAGTAGGAATTTTAAATTAGAAACAAGCTTCTCATTTTTAATAGCTCCTTAGATTATTAACTCTGATTTAAGCAGGCAGACTCAGAGCACTCAGTTGGTTACTTCACATCCTTCAACTTTGGTTCCATTAATTTTTGCCATCAGTTTTGTTCCCCGTGTTTCTCTGCTCTTTCAGTCTGCCCACAGTGCCCACCCCTGTGTGCCAGAGGATGCGCTCAGGAGCTGCCCGTGGAGGCAGGACAAAGTGCTGAGGCTTGTCACGCTGGGAATGTTCCCCCAGGAGTGCCTCTGAAGCTCCTTTGTGACAACCTGGTTGCCAAAAAGAGATTTCCAGAGGCAGTTCTTTTGCTAAACTATATGACCTTTAACTTCACAAAGTTTCTGAGATTTTGTCTGTAAGCATTTTGTAGAAAGCTGGAGGGGAGCACCATGTTGTGGATTCACACTGAAGTCACATCACATAATTTGTCAGACTGTTTCTAGTGTTACCTCTGACAGTATTTTCCTCTGATAAGCAGACTGTGAAATGAGAGTTTTAGAGAAGATATAATTAAATTTCATCCTGTTACAGAAAAACAAAATATACTTCTTTTTTTTCAATCTGAGGGAGCCAAAAGTAACCACTGAAGAAAAATATCACAAGGAAATCTTCACAGTGAATTAACAATGATTTACATCTGTGAAATAAGGCACCTGTTAGCTGATTAGAAATACAAAGTGCAAGGAAATATATTTTTATTTCTCAAAGTTTTGTACTACTTTGTATTATTGTAGCAGACTCAAAGTAAGAGTAAATTTACTTGCTGCATCCTCTCCTGTGGAACACTTTTTACCTTTTGGAAGCAAGTGCAACCAGCTGTGCATTTTGGCTGCTAGATTTCATTATAATGTCCATTAAATAACTTATATTCTTTGAATCTGTTACAGATGGCAATTCAGGATATTGAAGCAATTCTAGGAGTTACAGCAGAAAACAAACTGAAATTGGAAGAAGAGCATCCTTCAAAAGCAGATGCTCTGAAAGAATAGTTAACAGAAGATGTTTAAGTGTTCTTTATGCTTCTGGAAATGCTTTCTCATCTGTAAGAACACGTTTGGTTTTCCTTCTGCACTGGCATGTGAATATAACCTGGGACAATAAGTATCCATGATTTTTGAATACAGTAATTACAGAAATAGCCCTTATTTCACAAAATAAACTATTCAAAAACAGAGTATCATAGTAAACATCCCTAACATGTTTCTGTGGAACAAACCTTTCTGTTCCTAGAATCAAAAATCCTAAGTGAGATTTGCTTTGCTAACATTCCCATAGAAGTGGTGTACCCAGACCTCATGAAGTATTCCAGTAATTTTGTCTCTGGTGTTATAAAATAAAAATGCCACTCTCTACATTTTAATGCTTCCCTGCGTGTATGTAGAGATACCATCCTGTATTTGTCACTAGATCAGATCACCAGATCATTCCTGATTGAAAATAGCCCTGGGATCCCAAACTCCCTTTTGAACCTACTGTCTACTAAAATAAAGGCTTCCAGCAGAGGAGTAAGTCCTGGGTTCTTCTACATGTAAATAATTCACTTCATTGCTTTCTTATCCAGAAGTCCAGCATCTCAGGTTCCTCTTTAGAACTGAACGTCTTTATTGCTATCATTCCTGTATTTTATTATCTACAAGCTTTTGCAGCAGTTATTTTATGCTCAGTTTCAAATTATGAAAAATAATAGTAATAACATTGGTGCAACATTAGATTCTGAGAATCACGTTTGTACTATAATTCCCAGTATGCTGTGACTTTTGCAGACCTCTTCATCAGATATATTCTGCATTTCAGATACTGCTGACTTGTTCGTCAGAATTATTGTGTGTTTTACATTGAGAACAACTGCTACATTTGTACCTTTGTCCATCAGATCCGTAACCTTATCCCAAAAGAAAACACATTCTAAATTATACTGTAGAAGAGCTCATCTTTCTCCCTTGGATGCTTATTATTGTATTATGCATGGCAAAATGGACTTACTACCCAAAAACCTCAGGCAAAATCAGTTTTAAGACAAATTATTAATGTGAGCAAGCAATGAGAGATCAGCATCTACTTTTTCCAGTGCCTCTGAGTCTTTGACCTATCAGTTTCACACACAGCCTTCTGTGTTAATGTTTTTCTCTTCTTCCTTAGTCACAGAAGTAACTCCTTGCAGATGGGTTTCAACTAAAAATCTAAGCATATTTTTGTTTAATTCTTGTTTGTTCTTGTACCTTTTTTGATATCATCTCAATGTTGTCTTGTTTTTTTTCCACATAAATTTTACACAGATTTTTGTAATATGAAATTTAGCCAGTGAACATACTTCCTAGAAGTTTTCATGGTTAGTAATGAAAACAACATAGGTCTTTTGGGCTGTGAAAGGTATAGCAGAGATCTCTCACTTGCCGAGAAATAATTTGCTAAGAAAACATAGTATAATTTCTCATTTGTTCTTCTAACAAGATGAGCTGTTTTTGTTCTGTGATCTTCTTCGACAAGCTACAGACTAATATGCATTTCTTACCTTCTCCTCACTGCATTCTGTTTTAGTGCCAAGCTACCCTTCAAGGATTTTTCACCTAGAGCTTGATCTCCAAGCTCTATTAATGTCCCAGTTTGGTCAATTAAAAAAAAAAAGAAAGAAAAAAGCAGAAACCTGGGGTAGGAGGTATAGAAGAACACATCAGTATCAGCCTAGGAGTCAGCTAGTTTCTTAAGGGTTAAGGAAAATTAAGCTTTGATCCAAGCCAGAACAACATAAGGTCTTAGAGGCTCATTAGTTCACTGGCACTTAGTAGACTTCAGTGTCCTAGGAGTAAATGAAATCTGCACTTCCTTATGTCTTTGTTCTATTCTGACAAAAGACAACTGTACCTGTTTTTGCAGAGGACAAGTGATCTGAAAGTTCCCGTGGTGAGAGAGATTTCTCAGTATGTGTAAAGTGTGAAATGTATTTCGAGGAAAAAAGTTTTTAATTACTATTAACACTTCTGAGTGTTGAGCTGATGGATGGATGGATTCACAGTCTCTCACATTCAACTCCCATGCTGCTGGTGCCAAAAGTGTTTTGTTTTTTTTTTTAATACAACAGCTATAAACTGAAATTATCATTCTCCAAAAAGAAGTCAGAAATATAGCTATTGTTCTCCTGACTATGGAAATATTTATTCCCATGCCCTAAAGGAATGACAGAATTCTTGAACCATAGCAGGAATTTTAGCAATATTTAAAATAGGATCTAGACTAGGAAGAAACACAGCAAGTGGGAAATGTGGGAATCAAGAGATAAAAGATGACCCAGGCATAGCTGCTCATCAGCAATTGCCAAAGAATTCTGCAGCTAATGACAGCAAAAGCCCAGGCTGGTTCCCCAGCTGCAAGGTGTGGAGGAATGCCTGTGGAAGAACAGGAGGGGCATTGGGGCTGGGCATCAGCTGCAGAAGACAGACAATTAAAATAAAGGTATCATGCTTTCAATGGGCGAGGGCTGCAGATGAAGACATGCATTCAGTTGATAGCATTTCATGAATCTCAACGGCTTTTTAAAATTACATCTGTGTTAATCATGGTTGTGCAAGAACTGACAGACTGTAGCCTATGCTCTCTCCCCACCAGTATGCAAAATGCACAAAGCACCAACCTGACTGTTCCACGTCTGTGTGAAGTCCTGTCACCTCCATGCACAGAGCTGTTGTTCCTGGCCTGTAGGGCGTTCCTCAGATCTTAAGACATTGAAACAGTGCATGTCATGGCCACTGTGTGTTCCTGTAGCTTTTGCTGTTGGCTTTGACGTTAATGATAGCTCAGCTGCTGTGGGCTAATCTGTAGTTTGCTTGGGAATACTCCTTGCTGTAAAAGCTCTGCTTCTTTGCATTGACTACACAAACATCTGAAGCTGGAGAGTGCACCTCAACAGCAGAGGAATACAACAGATGGGAGATCTTTCCTAACGCCCCATTTCCTTTAAAAAATCTGGTCTTTAAAAAGTAAATTTAGGAGAATTTGCACCTAAAAAGTAACAAATCCCTGGAAATGTAAGATGTAAAAATGGCACTACCAGAACTGCCTGACTACAGCAGAATCCAACACGCACAGAGACCTTAATTGTGAATCTAAATGTTAATAGCAGTCTTTCGACAGCATGCTCCGTACTAGTTCCATCTTCACCTTTAAGAAATGGTCATTCTGGTCCTGATTCTTGAGCAGTGTCAGGCAGGCAATGTTTTGCTGTGCACTGGAAGACGCAGGTGGTCCTTCACCCCATCTGCAGGGCGCATCGTCTCAGCGAGGATACAGCCATGTTCGCTCAACCAGCAAGACGTTCTGCTGCTGGAGGTGAAGAATTCTCCCTTTGTTTATTTTTAACAGCAAAGTATCTTGAAATAACTCCATGTAACTGTGATGAAGTATGCTGGCTGGACAGGCAGTGCCTGCTCACTGGGAAGCCTGAGGTCCCTCTCACTGTAACACAGCTCTGCCCTTCACCTCAGCTCCCACCTCTCCCATCCTCAGCCTCTGCTCCTGCTAATAAGGATAGATCCCAAAGGAAGCTCTATGCTCTATTAATTATGGGAGGTGAGTTTGATGATTGATAATTACTGGTCCCACAGACACGTAGTGCATTGCAGTAAATAAACAGGGCGCGTTGTTGGTAGTAACTCACGAACAGCTCAACGATTTAAGACTGCTGAGTGTGAGGTATTGCCTGTAATTATTAAAAGAAAAAATCTGTCGCTCTTCTGGACAATTTTCCTCAAGCAGAACGGCTGGCGGTTCAAACCGCGGCTTTTATTGAGGTATTCGTACAAAGGGACACCGCGTGTCTGACGCCGCCCCTCAGCGCCTTTTCCCGCCCAAAGGTCGGAGCGCCGCGCGCTGCCGGCACATGCGCGGGAAGCGCGCCCGCCTCGCGCACGCGCGCCGGCCGCGTCCTCCGGAGGGGGCGGGGCGGCCCGCGGGATGCAGGCGCTGAGGCGGCTGCACGAGGCGGTGGTGGGGCTGCTGCTGTGGGGGAGAGCGGCGTCGGCCCGCCCCGACGCCTCGGAGGTGCTGAGCCAGCACCTGCGGCAGCGCGGCCTGCCCCACTGGACGTCGTACTGCGTTAAGTACAGCGCGGTGCGCAACGACCAGTTCGGCCTCTCGCACTTCAACTGGCGCGTGGACGGCGCCAACTACCACGTCCTGCGCACCGGCTGCTTCCCCTTCGTCAAGTACCACTGCTCCCGCGCCGCCCCGCAGGACCTGGCGCTGCAGAACGCCGCCTTCACCGCCCTGAAGGCGCTCAACGTCGGTGAGTGCGCGGCGCCCGGCCCCGCCGCCCTTCCCCCCCACCCCCCCGGGGTCGCGCCCTCCGGCGGTGACCCGGCGCTGCCGCCCCGCTCCGTGGCGGCTCCCGGCGCTGCCCGACGCGCTGTGCGCGCTGCGGGGCGGGCGCTGCATCCCGCGGGGCCGCGCTTGTCGCTCTGGGGTCCCGCCGGAAATATCCCGGAAAGCCGCCGCGAATCGCCGCCGTCTGAGCGGGCGCTGCGGTTGAAGCGCGGCGGTTCGCTTGTGAGGAAGGACCGAGCTGATGGCTGCTGCTTGCCGTGCGGGCTGCTCTGAGTTGCTCCGTGCTTATCAATAAACAGCGCAGTCGGTACCGCCACGTCTTTCAAAACGTGTATTTTAAAGTGTTTTCTGTATGTTTTGAAATCTACGGATATGAGTATTGTCTACGAATGCAACACTGCCAGCTTTTAAATAACTATCTCCATTCATTCCTTGTTTTTATATTTAATTTAAAGAGAAGTTCTTCACTTTGCATGCCCTCAGTAACTTCTTGCTCCTTATCTTCTCCCCTTCTTACCACACGTAGTGAGAAAATAGCTACTGAGATCTTTTTTTCCCTGTAATAACTTTTCATCTGATTTTATCAGACCTTTCTCTCTTGCAGCTGCTGTGCGTGTGCCATGCTGAAATGTCAGCCCATCGCTATTGAGAATCTAGTTGAAACATTTAGGTAACTCAGAGTACATTGCATTCAGTGCTCTGTCTTACTGAATTGGAGACCCAAATCCATCTCCATTTTTTTTATCCTGTATTAGGTGAAATATTGTCTGTAGCAGGTGGTCATTCAACAGTGTTAAAAACGATGGCGCTGTTTGTAGTTGTGACCACTGAGTTCATTTTTCCCCCAAGCAACTTCTCTTGATCTGTTCAGTCAGCGCCAGTTCTTCCTGCTTCCCTCGCACCTAGCGAGACTCAGCTGGTGTCTGGGTGGGTGTCTTTGTGGGCGTGTATTTGGATTTTTCTTTAAACCGGAAGAAAGCAGACTTTGTAGACATCACATTTCACTGCTTCCATCCCATTTTCTTCTGTTGTGTACTGCTTTTCTTAAGCTGCTTTCTGAGTCTTGTTTCTTTCAGGCACAAGGAGCATAGTGTGCACCGACGCCTCTTGTAAGCGTTTCAGTAAGGGCAGAATATTATTAGCACTGCTTTACAGGAATGCTTTTCCTCTATTTAATATCTGAATTCTTTACTGTTAATCATCAGACTTGCTTTTCCTGGCTTGCTGTCTTTGTATGTAACGTGTTTTTGTCTTTTCATAGGCATCCCAACCTTACTCTATGGAATTGGCTCCTGGTTCTTTGTCAGTGTCACAGAGACTGTTCACACCAGTCATGGCCCGGTTACTATTTATTTTCTAAATAAAGAAGATGAAGGCGCAATGTACTGAAATGGTGCCCTCAAGTAATGTCAGTTGGTGGGTTTCCATGTTACAGCTGCTACCAAGTATCTGCTCCCGGTGCCTAAAGAGAACTGACCGTAGCTCTGTGTTTTTATATGGTGTAACACTGTGTCTTCAGGAAGCTTCCTGGAATTTTTTGGCGATAGGTTTGTTTTTGGAGAGGACAGTAAAGTTGAAAAAGCTTTGGGACAAGAACTAATATCTCTGAGGGTGTTAGAATGTATGTAAATCAGTGACTGGAACTGTTCAAGAAGCTTCTAATAATTTAAAAAGGTACATCTACCAATGTGAACTGTGAATTCTTGAGACTTCTCAGGCTGTCCCTGAAAGCACTGAACTGCTTAAATCTCAACTAGTTGGATGTATTAGTGGTTACAGTTGTGAGAGGGTTTGGATGAATCCATGGCACTGACTGCTAGCAGTACCAGAAGGCTTTCTAGAAAAAATACCTGTGAGAAGTTGGGGGAAAAAAAAAGGCTGTATGTATCACATTTCTTTAAGTGGTATTTAAATAAAGTATTTAATATATGCTTCATGGTTGGTTTTGGTTTTTATTTTATAATATTTCAATTCCAGGTACATGCATTGTATTTCTTGTCTTTTGGTTGGTTTATAGGCAAGTAATAAAGCTAAAGTAATGTAAGATAGTGCTGGGGACTAAATCTGTACAAATCGCTGGTATTTTTAATTGATGTAGAAGAATGAAAAGAATACAACCCTCATTACTGTCCAAGGCGAATGATCTCCCGAGCTGTAGGTGAAAACAGGCAAAGATGAAGGTGGGAAGACTTAAATTCAGCTGGAAACATGAACCAAAAAAAAAAAAAAAAAGCTTATAAGGAATTATTTGGAGACTGGAAAGCATGGAATTGATGGATTAAAAGTTAAGAGAAGTGCCTGTACAGTTATATTACTGGTGCATAATTTTAATGCCAGCAGGTAATGCTGTCTATTCCAAATCCTGAGTCCAGTGATGGAAGTCGATGATTCCAGTTTTCATAATAGGAAGATAAATGTAAAATGAGTCCATGATGCTTTTGGAGGGTAATCACTATTCCTAAATAAATTATCGCCGAGCTATAGCTACAATATAATGTAATTTAAATACTTTTTTACTTAATTCCGGATAATGGAACTGTTCCCCACTTAATGAAGCAGTACAGTTTTCTAAAAGCAACGCTAAGTAATGCTTTAATCAGAAAAGCACTCACACTGTTGTATTTTATCTTGGTGAATACTCTTGACATGAGTTTAATGGGTCTCAGTGATGAAGAAACAGCATGATAAGAAACCTCATTAATAGTAAAAATGACTGTTAGTGTTATTCTAGAACTGCTTCTCACTGTATTGGAGAAAGTTAAATAACTGCAGCTCATAAGTTTAGAGTCAAATACTGCTCATTCATTGCTCCGGATCTTGTCAATATCCTGCTGTAAAGGTTTAGTCTCAACACGAGGTTGATAAAATGGTTTTTAATTACCAGACTATAAATACAGCTCTTTATTGGAGTTGCACCTCCACTCACTGCAGCTTGTTTGATTTCTGATAATGTGTACTGCTGACTTTGCTTACCTGTTTTTCAATAACTGCAGGCAACGTGACTCCTTGTCCATACAGTGATGGGCAAGTCTCCTTAGAGAACGTCTTTGACAAACTACCCTATTGATTACTGCAATTCTGTGCTGCTTGCAGCATTAAATAGAGACTTGATTTCTTGTTCAATGATCTCACTGTGTAACAATTAAGCAAATGTAATATTTTCTTGTATTACATGAAAATCAATAGACCTCTTGCTCTTATGAAGCTGATCGTGCTAAAGGATGAACTAGAAGATGTCTGAGGGCAGAGTGCAAATATAGCATCGTTCATTCGTTTCGCTGAGGCTGTGTGTGACTTGCTGCAGTACATGAAATGGCAAATATGCTAGAAGGGATAACAGAAGTCACTAAATTACAAAATCGCTGTCAAATACGAATATATATCTACTTCCCTGGCTTCAACCAAAGGTAAAAGGCACCGTCTGCCTTACGGTCTCTTTTTGCTATAAGTGGCTGCTTCTTAGTGTCTTTTGTTGTTACTTATCTTGAGCTCTGACCTGAATGCAAGGCAGAAATGTCAGTGGCCTGGTACCATCTTGTCTAAAATGTCCGCGAGTCTCTGGGGAGCACAGGAATGGCAAGCAAGGACACACGTGTTAGCAGTGCTGTGATGGCTCAGCACTCAGCTGAGCCCTTTCTCTTTCATCTTTCTGACCCTCATTGCCAGGAGCTCCTCGTAGCTGTCGGCTCCTATAGGGACAATCCTGGATGAGAGGAACAGGGCCTCCTCTTGTGGAGAAGTCCAGGAGTGTCCTTGAAGTGGGCTTTAAAGATGAGCAGTTTGTTCAGAGGCTGATTGATTTGTGCATGTTACGCCTAACTGCTCTCTCTTGACTCTGAGACCCTTTGGTGTTGTCTCATAACCACAAGGCTTCAAGAGACCAACTTGTAGGAAACCAGGCTTTGTGAATTCCTCCCGTCCAGGCTAGTTTACTTCTTGTTTGACTTAACGGGCTTCTTTTCCAGTGTATTATATTATGCATGTGTTATGTGTGCAACATACACTTCAGACGATTTTTTTTGTGTAGATGATTGAATTACGAAGTGACCCTTATAACTTTATGTGAATTCGATCTGCTCCACTTCCATTTGAAACAAAGTGTAGTTTATCTTGTAACTCTTGCCTTAATTATCTCTGCTGTATTCAAGGATGATGTTTAAATGAGTGAGAGATGACAGAAAAAGGCAGGGAGCTTTGTTTCACCGCGCTTAACTACTACTTCAGATAAATGAAACCTTACTCTAAGCCCAGTGGATCAGGTAGCTGCTTCTTGTAGCAGTCCTTTTAAACTGTAATGACTACTGGGGGCATCTTAACCTAAACGAGCGCTTAGCATTACATCTTACCTAGGTCAATGGTTTCAGGTATCCAAGTTAAACTGTGCTACTGTAAATTAATGGAAAATGTAACTGCGCTTTGCTGAAAGATCAATGTCCAATAAAGGCTGCACAATCAAATCTTGTTGCAATGATTGAGGTCCTTAATTGCCTTTCAAAGATAAGGTGGTAATCAACATAGGTTTAACTGATCTTTTTTACCAGTTCAATTACATGCTAATGACTACGGCCAACTCAGGATCTTTAACTACTTATACTTATTAAATCTTATGTTTGTAGTGAAAAATTACTTAAACCACACAATCAATAAAGCCCAGGTCTTAATTACTATATTTCACTTTTATACCTTTTTGTATGTTTGACAAATGTTTCACTAGAGACTGTGTAGCACTAATGATAGTACCCCAGGAAATACTGTTTTCTGATATCGCTTCTCCGAAGTGGAATAAGATGTTTTCATGTTTTTTTAACAATGTTTTCTGACTACTAATGCAAACCTAGTTTTAGGCAGTTCATTGTGCTTAAATATCATTAGTTATGTATAATGGCATCCCTTCTTTGCTTGATAACCTTCCAGTGGACACAATTTCAGCTTGAAGTTCCTAGCTGTTTTCCGCTCTGAATTGATGCTAAACTTAGATACGTCTGCACCAAAGAGTGATGTTCCCAGTTGTTGTCGATTCTCTGACATTGTTTCGAAAATAAGTGGTGTGTCCCCTTCCTCTGAATTGCCCGTCTTTCCCTGCAGTTCTTCTCCCAGTCTTTCAAGGAACCTGAAGCCACCTGGAGCTCTCATCCAGCTGAGCAGAACGTGCATCCATCCACAGCTTGCCTTGTGGCTGAATGGTGTAATCCTGAGAGCATAGCAGCATCGGGTCAGAATCCTTTGGGTTTATGGCTTTGTTTTTGTATGTATGTCCTTGCTCTTCCTGCAGAATTTGGTGGGTTCTGAGAAGCTGCTCGCCTCAGCCTGGAACTGTTGACTTTTAAGTATTCTCAAACCTACTGAGGTTTCTTCCACTGCTAATGCTTTGTGGAACAGAAGAACAGGAATCTAGAGTTCATTCTTCCCACACTGAAAAGAGAAGTGCTACAGCATTTTGCCACAGTCCTTACAGTTTATGGGAATTTAAAATTGATGAAATAGGATTTATTGGAATCATCCTGTAGTTTAAAAAAAAAAAAAGTTTAATGGACTAAGTAGTAACCTTTGAGAATGTAACACCAATATAAAGATCGTTACCGTCAAAATCTCTTTGCAAACCATAACTGTAGATCTCCTTGATATTGGGTATTTCTTAGTGGTTGAATGCTCTTTGGGCTTCTGAGTTAAACCAGCTTTGCCAGAAACAAAGAGATTCTGCTTCATGTATTATTTACTTTGGCCATTCAAATTAAATTGGCTTTTTCTGTAACTCCTTAATCATGTTCACTACAGAAAAGTAAGTTGCCTTGATTTTTTTTCTGGGAAATACATAGTTACAGAAGTGAGTGTCATGTATGCACTGCTGGGTTACTCTTTCAGCTTAAATGTGCCAAAGCAAAAGTGGCACTTAGGAGATGTAGAAAGGGGGATTTAAAATAAAAATTGTCACTAATATATTCCAAGTTTATTTAAAAGATTTTTTTCTATTTCTAGAAAAGAATAAGATGATATTACTGCACTTGCAATTAAGTCTTTTAAATAAAGCATGTGTGCAGCAGAACACCAAAATATGCATTAATGATTAGGAAAGTCATTGTAAATTATTGACCTTTGTGAATTAGTAAGTGAATAAACGCAGCTGCAATAAAGCTCATATTTATTACTCCAAATATTTATGACTCTTAGATGACTGTAGTTTAACCTTAATTATTTATGCTAATACATCATAATATTCTACTAAAGGCACTGCAATATCATTTTGGAAAGAAATGAAGTCCACATAGTGGGCGCATTCTGCCACACTGTAAGAGGTGGTGATTTTTGTCTGAGTTCAAGTCAGAACCCATCCACATCATTAGCAGCTTCAGCGAGGCAGTTTGATAGGAAACCCACATATATATCAATTCAGCATTTAAAAAATAGTTGAAGCCACCGAGCTTTGAAATGATGCAGTACTTTGTGTTGTACTTTAGCTACTTTGGATGTGTTATAGTTGCTACTTGCTTGGTAAGGTAGATTGTGTGTGGCTTAGATTTTAATAGCAATGGTGTCGTGTGAAGCACAGTTTATAAGCCTTGTACTAGTCAGTGGTTTTATAATCCTAATAGAATTATAACTGCTCTGAACCATATTTTACAGTCCTTCAGACAAAAAGTCTGATCAAGAAAACTTTCCATTTTAAAATACAAGTTTCAAAGCAGACAGCTTCTAAAGGACACTTGAAAATTTTAAGCAAAATTAGAAATATATATTACAAAGTCAGATCTATTTCTTAGAGGAAGGAATGCCATTACGTATGATTGTTCTATGCTTGGTGATTCATGGGCCTGGTTATAGATCTGCTTTGTGATGTATGAATTATTTAGCAAGAAAAATCACAATAATTTTGTTGTTACTCAAGAATTTATAGGTTGACAGAAACAATTATGCAGACCCTGAAGCTGGGTTGGTGGGTACGACAACATCCTTAATGATACACAGCCACTTTGACTCACTCCAACTGGTCTGGTTTGCACTGTAATTTTTCAGTAATTGTGCATCATATGTAGCCCTTAAACAATATTAGTTTTATTCTGCATAAACTGTCTCTGTGTTCTTTATTTTAAAATATGTTTATAATTTTGAGCAAGTGCTCTAAGTATCAAGTTCATAGATTTGGGTTTCTTTTTCAACTCGAGGAATTTATGATGAGAGAGTTTTAAAAGATCTGTTTGAGGCCAGATTCTGCTCTCACTGAGTTGGACACAAGATGAATTAACATCCTGATTTTTGGTTTACAAGCAGCCATTTGCCTCTTAGCCACACTGCTTTGTGTCTGCAGTGTGCAGTGGGTTTCTGCCTGTTTAAGCCCTTGCAAAATGAATGTAAAGGGCACTGAGGGGGCCTGGAAGGAAGGCAGCTGCTTTTGTGCAACTTTGGAGAGCAGGCTTTAAGGGATCTCCATTTATACTTGTAGTTATCAAGCTGGTACACTTGGGTGATTCTCTCCCGGGAGATGCATTTTTAGAGAAGAAAGACGTGTTTAGAAAGGCTGGACACTTGACCTACTTTTTTCATAAGCCTAAGGGAATTACGTTTGCTGCACTCACTGGCAATCTGAAGATGTGGGAAGGAAAGAGTGAATTTCACTGTGGTATGTTTACCGACAGAAAGTTATGTATTAATCTTTTAAGAATTTAAGAAGAAAAAAAAAAGGAAGAAAGCAAATTACTAAACCACTGACCAGGTGCCATTCTCTTTAGGAAATGAAGGGTTTGTGCTGTCTTATGCCTAATAGCTATGTAGAAACTGGTGCAGGAAATCTTAGCAGTGCCAAAGTTAGAATTTCCCCGATGCTCTGTGGGAGCTCTAATGAGCACACAGGACTTCCTGCCTCTGCCTCGTGCTCTGCTTCCTTCCTGAGCCTCGTTTCTTTCTCCCCAGTGGTCACGCACAGGACTAGCAGGAATTATTTGGGGATTCTAATCCTTGTTCTAATGTATTTCAGCTCCTCATGCAGCCTCATACATACAGTACATTGCAAGTGGCATAATCCACCTGCTTTCATCTTCACTGAAGATCTGCAATGGGAGCATTGTAAGGGTCAGTGCAAAACCAGCATGCAGTGTGTAGGCAAGGAAGTGCAGTGTAGGGAGGACCGGGTGAGCTCTGAGCACTGTGTGTTATGTCTGCATTGGCCTGATTCACTCCAGAGATTCAGCTCATCCATCCCTAAAACAATGGTGAGGAAAACAGGAAGAGAAAACCTGCTAGACACAGCTCCTTGAACAGCAAGAATGCAAGAGTTGGGCCAGCAGAGTCAGCTCTTTCCCTCCTCTTTTTTCTATGGAGTTTTGGTAGTAGGACTTGAAACTTCATTATGTTGTGTCTGTGGTAGGGAAGAGGTGGAAAATGAGTGTGTTAGATAACTTCCTTTGCAGTGGGAATTAGGGAAACAAGTAATAACTTATCGCCCTACTTCTTGAGGGCTTTGCAAGTTACCGTGATAACCACATTGCAGGGAATCAGTGGGGCACAGCATTATTTCCATACCGCTCACTGATGCTTCTCTGAGATCCTGCAGCACAGCAGTGCTAGCAATTTTAGTATTCTTCTGTGTCAGCATTTTGCTTTTCCCTGAAAACAAGGATGTATTTTCTTCATGTGGCCATCTCCTCTGTCTCTGCTGTCCTTTCCACCGGCAATGGAAAGCAGCAGAGAGCAGCAGCAGACTGCTCTGAGATCATTGCTCCTGCGCCTGTAGCACACCGCCAGCCTGGGAGGCTGTGGCACTGATGGAGGATGCTTCCCCTGCACAAATAAGCATGGAATTTATAGAAGTCCTGGGCTTTGTGATCCTCCTGTAATTAAAGACCTGATATATTGCTCCTTTGCAGATTTTGAGTGTTATGTCATTGTGGGTAGACAGTAACTTCCAATACGTAATTATAAATAGGAAATCCATGCATATTTCTCGCTGACAGCATGTCATCTGGATTCAGTGGAGAAAGCCAGACTGCTTTGTTATTTCATTTTCCTGTGGCTTTCTGGAATTCTTGAACTTTTTGTGCCAGAAAGTTTTAAAGAAATTCTTTGGGCAAACAGGGAATTTTAAGAATCAGTTTTCAATGTATCTTAACAGAATATTCCCCCAGCACTGAGAAAACACATAGATTTCTGTTTTTATACCACAAATTCTGGAAAGTGACAAAGTTTAAATATTTGTTTCAGCGCAGTTAGAATGAAAATTTCTGATGAAAGGTTTTAAAGGCAGATGTGTCAAAAACAATCCCGTATCCTCAAACACATGCTTGATGCTCCTGATAAGATACAAAAAGAGCGAAGTTTGGTTACAACTGCATCAACAAATCAGTATGGGGATGTAAGGTTATGATCAGCCCTAGAAACACCACTTGATATTTATGCAAATTCGGCAAATTAAGTTGGCTTTCCCTGAAGTCTTGTAGATGAAGAAGACATTTTCGAAACATTGTGGTTCTATAGAAATTCTTTGAGTCTGTATCCTATTCTTTCAAATGTTATAGGAAATGAATCTGATTGAAATGAATTTGATTGAAAGGCATAGAGGGGCCGTGAATAAAAGGCTCTTCTGAACAGAAGGAATTCTGCACGGGCAGCCCGGATTCCTCAGGTGTTTGGGAGCTGGGCTCTATTAATTTCCAGTGTCAGAACTAAATTACAGAGTAACTGAGCAGAGAGAGAATTCATCTGTGCGAATGTCTGCTGAAGGATTATGTTTTCTTTTTGTAAAGCTTCCTCTAACGTGAGGAAGCCTGAAGGTGTTTCAGGAGTTAAATCAAACAGAAGATACATTTTTTTTTACCCCTCTAATTTGGTAATGTGAGCCAAACACTTCAGTTTGTCAGGTGAGATAACGTGCAAGATGGTGATAAAATGCACAGGTTAATGCTCTTCTCCCACTGAACCAAGCAGGAAAAGCGTGCTGCGGTTTGGGGCTGCGGGTCTGAGGCTGCCGGGACAGCACTGCGCTGAAACCATGAGGGAAAATCAGCACTGGGAGGTTTTATGGGAGATCCACCACATGGGGCGGCTCCGTCACTCTGACTGCCTGGCTGTACCAGGCGTATTCCACACTTTTTTATATATTTAACGCAGAACCGCTAATCTGAAGCGCCGTTTCAGCAACGCTTTTCCTCTTCAAAACAGCATAACGTAGGGACAAAAACGCTCGGAGAGGAGACGCCGCCCCTCAACATGGCGCCGCCTCCTGCAACATGGCGCCGCCCCTCAACATGGCGCCGCCTCCTGCAACATGGCACCTCCCACAACATGGCGCCGCCTCCCCTCCTTCCTCCCCTTTTTTTTTTTCTCGTTTTCCTCCTCCCCGCTCCTCCGTTTTGGTTCCGGGGCAGCGGGGCGACCGCGAGTCCTTCCTGCGGGCGGGGAGGGGCGGAGGCGGTGCATCCCCGGCCCCGCAGGGCAGCCCCCGGCCCGCGGCCCCGCAGCATGTGAGCCCGGCGGGGCGGGGATGCTCTGGCTGCTCTGCGGCCCCTCCCGCGCCATGGAGAGCCACCAGGTGCTGGTGATCCGCATCAAGATCCCCGACGGCGGGGCCGTGGACTGGACCGTGCACTCGGCGCCCCAGCTTCTCTTCAGGGACGTGCTGGTGAGTGGGTGCCGCTGAGGGTGGGCTGCCAGCCGCCTCCCGCCCACAGAAACGGGGAAATAATCACCAAATCGAGCCGGGTTTGGTGATGGCATTGCTCGCTGCTCTCTGGGCTGGCTGAATCCTCAACCCTGAGCTGCCCTGGAGCTCTTTGCAGGCTCTTTCTGTTCTCTGGAATTGCTGAAACTCGTGACCCCTCTGCCCCTACTGCAGGTGTGGTGGGCACGGCTCAGTGAAACTGTTTTGTTTTTTAGTCTCAGTTGTGTCACTTTGGTACCAAAGCAGCTGGAGGTACGTGGGCATAACACTGGAGCTTCTCATCCAGTGGGATGACAGCAAGCGCTGCTGCTGCTGGAGCAGCAGGAACCAGAGCCCCTGACTGGGGATGTGCTTACTGGGCGTGGTGGGGATGGGTTGGGGTTGGTGATCTTGGAGGTCCTTTCCAACCCAGTGATTCTGTGATTTCTTTGGGAATTGTGAAGCTAGAGAGGTGTTCAGGCATTATAACTGTGACTTGGTGCTTGACCCGTGTCTTACGCATGAGGCTCTGTAGTTGCCATTGTAGCCCTTAGCGTTTGCCGTGTCTGGTGAGGACACTGAGTGACCTGAAGGAGCCCAGCAGAGTCCTCAACACCTGAAATGCAACTGAGCACTGCGATCGATGGATGCACAGACCTGGAGTTGCCCCTGGAGCCATCCACGCTGGCAGCAGTCTGTGGCCACGTGGAGGTGATGCTTTCTGAGAGTGGTGTTGTGGAAAATGAGCAGGTCAGGGAGGGTGTGTCAGCAGCTCTTCAGCTTGGTGCATCCCTGGTCAGAGAGGACTTCTTTCACTGCTAATGTATTTGGAGAAGCAGTTTACATAGGGGATCTGTCACTGAACGTGTATGACAAATCAATACTGAGGGACTCTGCCGTTCCAGGGGTCATGCAGAGCATTCTTCCTCCTGCTGACGGCAGTTCCCGGGGTCAGCAAGCCTCAGTTACACAGGTATCCACTCTCTGAAGCCAAAAACTGCAGGTGCACATGATGAATGCATTGCTGGTCTCGTTCTGCACTGTTGCTGAAGTCATGCAAACAGGTGGCTTCTGATGCTTCCCCTCTGCACACACGATTCTGGTGCTCATCTTAGATGTTTGCTTGCATCCAGCTAGAAGATCTATTGGATGTCTTGCAGATCTGTTTCTCTGCTTCTGAGCAGGTTGAGCTTCCACATTTTACAGCCATTGAGTTGTTCTGGTTTGAAATGTCCCAAGGAAAGGGGAGGGGACGGATTTATGCATCAGGTTCTTTGGTGTTGGTGATTCTGAGTGGTCAGAGCTGGGCACCATGGGGAGTGGTGACACCTGCCTGGTGTGTCTGCATGTGATGATGATGCATTGCCATCAGATGTCAGTGAGGAGAGCCAAAGTGGGACAAACCTTTTGTTGTCCTACCTTTGTTGTGATTTCCCCTCACAGGCAATCACTGAGGGCTTATGGAGGGTCAATTAAGGACAGTGTGGAGAATTGAGATGATCCCTATTAAAGTAAATTATGGAATAGCAATGCTCTGATCAGGTCCCACTGCTCTCTGTATCTCCCGAGTCTGATAGTAAAGCGTGCAGCCTGTATGCACGCCTAATAGCTGCAGGTGGGTGCTGCTCCCTGGCCTGGGTGCAGCAGCACTGTGCCTAGCGGTGCCACTGCTGCTGTATTCAGGTTGGGCATTAGCTTGGTTACTTTCCTGAAGTGGGTGCTAAGAACCGTTCTGTAATGTCACTTTAAATATGTTCGGTGTGTATCAGCTTTGCAGACCTGTGAGTTACCAGTAAACAGATTTATTTTAAAGACACTACTAAATGAATTACAGTGAGCTTATTTTTCTCATCAGGCTGTCTGGATTCATTTGCCCGAGCCGTCAGCAGAGCATTTAAGTGCTTGGTGTTAATTCAGGATAACTTCATGGTGTCATAGTGAGATGAGATGAGCTCTAACTGATCAGAGAATAGTGCCCATAGTCTCAATGTTTGTGCTGTTCTTGAAGGCTGTGCTTTTGCACTTTCTGCTCACCCGAGATAAGTGCTCCACAGTTCTGCTAGAGGGCGGATTTGACGGAATTCCTTTTGGCTGCCCTTTCCCTGATATTTCCCTCATTGTTGGAGGCTTTTCATTTTGTAGGGTGGAACAGAAGCTATCAGATATGATCCTATTGAAGTAATTGCTTATGAGCCACAGTATTTTATTCCCTGTGATCTCTGTTGTGATCGTAGAAAACCACTGCACACAGTCTGTAGAAATTTAGAGTAATCCTTTAAGCCTGGGTCACTGTGAGGTCTGAGGTGTGGAGGTCCTGAGCAGCAGCTGAGGGAGCTCACTGCACACACTGCTCGGATGGGTTTTCTTCAGTGCACTGATTTCACAGAAATGCTGACAATTGCCCAGAGCAAAGCTGTGTGCTTGTTGGTGGGGTCTTTTTGACTGTTGGTAGAAGGCTGTGAACAGCTCTTGAGTGGTACGCTGTTGTTACTCGTTTTAAAGAAGTCCTGAATGAAAAAAAAAGGATATTATCAAAGAATTTACCGTTGCTGTCGCAGTGCCATCACAGCTGTGGGAGTTGCAGAGCTCTCCTGGCAGACCTCGGGGGCCTTCCCACATCCCTCCCCGTCCTGTATTTACACACCTCTCAGTCTGCAAACGTCCCCAGACGGGCTGCTTTTCTCATACCCAATTTTACCTCCATGTAATGCACGTCTCCGTGTGCTCCCACGCTGATGTTTTACAAGTGGCTTAAGCCTAATGCAATTAAAGAGTGTTTGCCGAGGAATTTTCAGTGTTTAACTAAATAGATTTAGAAGTAATTAGTTAACAGCACAGTCTTCTCTAATTTCTTGTTAAGGACAAAGGCTACAGCTCATCTGGCTTTTGACCGAGTATCTACAGAGCTGTCCACCCACTTAGCCAGAAAGATTTGGGTTAATATGGAAGCATTTGGGGTCTTGCTGTGGTCAGGTGGATTTACAGTCTCTATGGTTGGAATCATTAGGTAAGCTGTATTGCACAGCTTTTGTCTTTTTGCATCAAATTAATAGTTTAAATGACAGTTCATTTATTTTAGCATCTGAACTGGAGAGACAGGAGAAAGTTTTGAGAAATATTATTTGCTTCAGTTAGCTCTGTGGAAATCTTTGTTGCTTCTCATTATATTAATTGTGTCTCTTTAACATTGCACAGAATGTTTAATTTCCTGCACTCAGATGAAGGATATGGAGAAAACAGAAGTGACAGGACAGTGATTGCTAAGGCTTTGTTACGGGGAGTGCTTAGCACCCCGAGATGCTCACAGTGCACGTACCGCAATAAATATTGCTGTGCATTAATTTCTAATCACTTTGTGACACTGTCAGCAGAGAGACTGCCTGACATGAGAAATCAGGCAGCAGGAAGGAGAAAACCATGCTGTGCATTTCTGCCATGCCCCGACATGACATATTGCAGCCGCGCCGAGCTGACAACGGCACATGCACTGGGAGGCCGGGATGACTTAAATCCCAGCAGAATGTTTTCACTGAATTCTGAGTGAGTGCTGGGGGTAAAGACTTTGGGGAAGGAAAAAAGAAAGGGGGGAATGTGGGGGGGGGGAAGCTGTTATCCATGTGCAGATTTAGCTGTAGAGGAAACGTTTGTGTTTGGTCCAAAGCAGGGCTGTGGATGCTGCCCCATGTTTCTGAGCTGTGGTTCGGGGAGGTGAGGTGTGCAGTGAGGTCGCCCTGCAGGGTCAGAGTGTGTGGAGGGCTCTCCTTCCAGCACTCAGGGCAGTGCAGGAGGACTGAGACAGAAAAACTGCTTTCTCACTTTAAAAGCTATTCATAAACCTCTCTTTTTATGACATCTATGAGTTAGATGTACATTTTTCCATAACCCACGGGTAAAAATTGATCCGTTGAACTGCAGCAGCAGATGACAACTGGTTTGTTTGCGGTTATGATTGAGTTATTTAAGAAGAAAAAGGTATTCCTGGAGGTAACGTGGAGAGGAAGGAGGAGAGAGCAGTGATTTGCACTGATTTGTGGTGTGCACTGATAAGTTGGTGATTTTGGGGCGGCGATGAGGCGCAGGACTTCAAGTCTCCTGCCTGCAGCTGGGGAGCAATTAGAATGATTTACTCTGAGTTGTCTCAAGCATTTCCCCTTTGCTACGTAGCTAATTCTTCTTTACATTTTAGGATGTCATCGGTCAAGTTCTGCCAGATGCAACGACAACAGCGTTTGAGTGTAAGTATGACTTGTATAAACGGGCTTCTTGGTTGCATTTATAGGATTGTCATTTTTTAAATAAATAATGTTTATGTTCATTATATGTTACAGTTAAATATTTATGCAGTAATGCAAGTTTAATGATTATACTTGACTAAGTAATATTTTATTATTTAATCACAACTTGAGTGAGCATATTTCCACAATACAGCTTTAATTACCAGCATGACCTTCCCTTGCTCTTATTCCTCACTGCAATTATATTGCTTGAATTAAATGAGAAGTATAAAGTACCTGTAGGTATGAGTTGCAAATTTTATCCTCTCGTGGAGGAAATCAAAGGAGTGGTAGTTTTTACAGAAATATGGTACAACATAGAGTTTTATTACCCAGTATGGCAGCATGGCTGTATTTGCACCTCCAGTTACTGCTAGTAATGGGGAATTGCTTCGTTTTTCCTTCTGCTGGGCACAGGCTTTATATGCCATCTCCCTGTTACCTCCCTTGTGTGCAAGAGTAGGAGGTGTGGATGGATAGAATAGAATGAGTAAGGTTGGAGAAGACCTGTAAGATCATCAGGTCCAACCATCAACCCATTGCCACCATTGCCTGCTGATGGTGTCCCTGATACTGAGCTTCAACTCCTGAAGGAGGTATGAGAGCTGCAGGATGTGCTGCCTGCTCAGACCTGGGAGAGGTAATAACTTCTGGAAGGCCCTGTGGGTGTGATTGAGAAGAACAGCTTGTGTATGGGCTTGGGGCAAGCTGCAGGTTGGGTTGTCCCTGCCAGCGCTTACTCCTCGTGTATGGGGTTGTGTCGTGCTTTTGCTGAGCTGGGATTGCTTTTGGTGGCTGTGTTAGTGTGGATTTAGTCCAGCGCCGACATACTCAACCAGCACCATTTCAGCTCTGCTCTCAGCACTCTTCTTATTTTTGAATGGACCCCCCAGGGGATTGTCCTGTCTGAAGAGCAATGAGGTGCCAAGGAGAGTCAGGTAGCAATGCTGATGTTGGAGGCAGATAGGCCAGCATAGGGCCTGGCATTCTTGTTCTCCCTTTTTCAGGGCCTTAAGGTGAATTCTGAGTGTGGATAATCAAAGCAAATTGTTCTATGAGCCTTCAAGTACTGCTTAGCGCTCTCCATTCTTCGTTTCACATTTGTGTTTTGCCCTTCTAAAATACCAGAGACCTAAGAATGGAAACTGTCAATGTCTCCTGACCTTGCCTTTTTAATTTTTTTCTTAATATGATTTGTTATTTTATTATTTTTCTGAACATCCCTCCCCCATCACCCATTAGCTCTCTTTGAACTTCATGCAACAATAGCAGCCAGTGCCATCAGGGCAGTAGCCCATATTAATGGTACCATGTGTAGAACTTTCCTGGAAATAACTTATTTCATCGTGTCTTCCAACATCTGCTTCTGTGCTTTCAGTTCATGTCTCTAGTCTGTCATTTACATCTGCACAAAACCATTTCCCCTGCCATTTAACTGGCATCTAAAATATGTTATGTATATTGATGCCTGATTTTTCTGGTTACTTTATCCATATCGGATGCCTGGATTTTTCCAGCTCAAGCTTTGTTCTCACCTGCTTCATTGCTTCTTCAGATGTGGATAATTGCCATCTTGTGTAGCCTCCTCAGCTGTTTGTTTGGTTATTGTTATCTACAGTGCATCGCCCATTGCGGCTCGTACCTGGGGCTGTGCTTCTCCTGCTATTGGACCTTTATGTGGATTTCACCACCGTATCACACATTGCTACAAATAAAATCACTAACAACATATGGCCTGTTATGATCCTTTTATCCAAACTCTGCCATTTTGTGTATTTGTGACACGCTGCAGATTTTGTGAAGATTGCTTCATAATATTTGTTTACCATCTGCTGCATGCTATTTGGTATCTTGCTAGGATTTCTTCCTCCATTTTAAGTGACATTAGCAAAATCCAGCCAGTACGTAGGATTTTTTGGTTCTACTTTTGCTTCCCTAATGTGCTGGAAAATCGCATTGCTGTGCTCTAGGCAAGTAGAGAAGCCTGGAAATCTTTGTGAACCCGTGCATTCTGTCTGGTTAGTTTGGGGCTGTGCCTGCTATGGTAGGACAGCAAGGGATTCTGCACAGAAAAGAGAAATACGTTCTGAGCTGGTTTTGCTCTTTTCATGCGTTGCCTGACTGCTTTAGAGTTTGCTTTTGTAATGCCAGGTTACAGTTCCTGCTTTTTCATCAACACATTTTAAATTGAGTTTATTCTCTTTGCAGTGTTACCAGGACTTTTGTAACTCGGGGAATTCTGCAGTTAATTTCTTATCATTTGAAAGGAATAATATGTGATGTTTAGAAATGCTTTGCAGTCGGGCTCTAGGAATTCTCCAGCTTTTATTTTTTCATTTCAGTGGTCCCAGCTCAGTTTGTCCCCTCAAACCAAGCCTGTCTAGTGGTTTTATCTCTGTCTCTGACATATGTTTTCCTCTTCTGTTTTTCACTCCAATCCCTCTTTGTTGATGCACAGCTCTGGCTGCGCTCACTGTACAGCAGCTCCTTCAGTTCTGCTCCTGCAGCACGGCTGTGCCTTGGGTTTTGGCCAGCGAGCAGTTCTGCAGCTCCTCCTCCTCTCTGCCTAAGATGTTTCCAGGCGAGGAAGCATTGCGTTTCAACTCGCTAACTCTTCTTAATCTTTTCATCAGTCATGACTCGCTGCAGGCTGGTAACCTCAGCAAGTAGTTGTAGCAAGCTGGCAATCCATCAGTTAAACTTCCACAAGGCTCTTGTAGGACACGGCTGTGCCATCTAGTTCTTCATCCAGCTTTCATGTTCCAGTGGCCCATAGCTCTTTCCTGGTACGTTTTTAAAGTGCAATTCTAAGGGGTTTTTATGCTACTTTTTTTTTTTCTCTCATTTGTCTTTTGTATTATCTCTTCTGCAATGTTTTTGCTCTTCTCTGCATCCTCAGAATGAGCTGCTTGGTTTTCAGAGCCAGAATGAACAAACTCTTTTTTTCAGGGAAATCTTTAGAAGTTGATTTAGGTCTGTTCCCAGATTCTCATGCAGGAGTGAGCTCATCCAGGGGAACAGAATCACCTTTCGTGTGCTGGTGTGAGGGCTGTTTGCAGGTAGCACATGTAGCAGAGCTGCAGACAGACTTCAGCCTCTGCTTGTGTCCCAGAGTGAGCAGGAGCATTATCTGCTCCAGACCCAAATCCATATCACAGAATCGCAGCAATTGGAAGGGACTTCAAGTGATCATGGAGTCCAACCCCCTGCCAAAGAGGAATAATTGCATTCACTCTGTATCCTCACCTTTCAGTGTTCAGTAGGTCTGAGGTTCATTACAACAGATGCTTTCTGACCAAAAAGGCTCACGGTCCAAAAATAAATGTAAAATGGGGGTGTACACCAACAGGCTTTGTTGTTGTTTTTTTTTTTAAGTATCTAAGGCAGATATTTAGATTGCAGCAAAATTTGGAGACAGATCATTAAGCCCTCCCTTCTCCCCAAAGCTGGAGCAATAAAAAGAAATGAACGTCTTGTTATGGGTTCGGAAGGGAGGGGTCTGTGCTCACTGCCGGTGCCTTGTGCAGCTCTCCTGGTGCTGAGCGTGTGCAAACTGAGCAGTTCTCTGGGGCTGGAGGAGAGGACAGGGCTGGTTGATGCAGCAAGCACAGTGTGGGAGCACCCTGCTGTTCCAGCTGGTGCTGGTGGGGGGATTTATCCCCCTCTTGCATCTGCACCTGTTGGATCATGCCGTATGTCTTTGGGATGGCTCTTCGTCTTCTACACCTTCATATTTACTACACTTTCTAAACACTTTGCTCTGTTGGAGACTCTCCAACCTTTGCTCTGATTCTGTCCTTATAGCAGGGCCTCAAGGCCAGAAGTGCCTTGTCCCTGTGTCCAGGGCTCTCAGCACACAGCTGTGGTTGCCCCGTGGACAAAAACACCAGCTGTTTTTGCTTGTTGGCATGCTGCTGTCCTCCTGTAATTGCATTTCCCTCTATAAATGTGTAGATCTGTGCCCACTTCTAAGCTACAGTTTAAGTCAATGTCTCTATGTCATGAAGCTAATGTGGGTGGGAGGACCTTGGCATCAGCCAGGCGGGCTGAGGTTGGTGAGGACAGCAGTGAAAGCAGAGGGCTTCTCTGGAAGTAAAACAGATCACTATAAGTTTCAACATAATAATAATAAATTAACTTCTGCCCGAAGTTGACTCTGTCTGGGAGGATCAAAACACATGAAAAAACCTTGCTTTGTGTTTGCTGGGTTGGAATAACCACTGGAAGGGTTTTGGTATGGGGTTCTCAGCTTCTGGAGAGGTTCTGGCGATAGAATAATTCTTGGAAGCGAAGTTTTGAGTGTTTCATTTGTGCTTCCCTTTTATATGTAATTGTTGTCTTTGTTAATTAATATTTGAAATCACCATGTGTTATTATTCCCTGAGTTACCTGTGAGGTGGGCTTATATAGCCTTATTTTCATTGACTTGAAAGTGTCCAGGCAAAAAACACCCAACCACCTTGGATTTAAAGGCGTAGATCTCCTTATTCCATTGCTCATGATGTAATGCATTTCTTTGTTAGATGAAGATGAGGACGGAGATCGGATTACTGTCAGAAGTGATGAAGAAATGAAGGCCATGCTGTCCTATGTAGGTACAGTATGATAAATGCTGATGCTTTCCATGTTTGTCAGCTTCTGTTCATGTGTTTTTGCACGTATCAAATCATTAATGTGAGCTGCAGCATTCACAGTGTAATGTTAAGCGTAGGTGTTTAAAAACTCTATCACGTGAGATATATGGTCATGCTTGACTTTTTAAAAAAAGACTTGTACACTTACTGATCATATCATAAACATTAAGAATAATGCATCTTAATGACTTTTGCATTAGGTATAGTGCAGGCTAAATGGACTATCAATTTCTTGTATTTTTTATGCAGTACTTAAAGTAACGGCTCATTAAAAATGAACCCCTGGGCTCTAAAAATTTTTCAAAATCTACTTTCATCTGGAGACTGTTTCACCCCTCCTAACAGAAGAGTTTCATTGTAGCTGCAGGCTCAGTATTCATAGAGGATTTAAAGACACATTTTCTGTTTTTTAGTATGAGAAATGTGCAGGTCTGTGTCTTTATGCACATAGATATATGTAAAATCTGTCAAGATACCTATAAATATAAAATCAGACTACAGAAATAAAGCATTTGGTTACTTATTGAAACTGTAATTTCAATATAGCTTAGATGTATGTTTCAAGTTGCAGATGGAAGTGAAAAAAAAATCATTTAACCTTTTCTTTGAAATGAAATGGATTGCAAGAAAATAACAAATAAATAACAAATGGATCTTTTCTAAGTCAAATGGAATGGCAGTTCATTGCAAAGTGCACTTGTGATTACGTGAACGGCGCTAACATCGAACACATCAGTGCCAGCCGTGGCTGCTTTGGTTGGAGCGTGACTGCAGCTCTGTTGGAGGGCTCTGATCAGAGGGATTTGGGGCATTGCCCCAACTTTGTCCTGGGGTGGGAGAGGGGCAGCATCCCTGGGTTGAGCTCTGGAACCTTTCATGTGATTTTTCTTTGCAGAAGAGGTGGGACCATTGCATTACTGGTCAGGTAGTGAAGAGCGCTAAAACAGCTTTGGGAAAGAAAGGAAAGGGATTTTATGCTTGTTTGTAGGGTTTGGTATTGTTTGATACAAGTAGATCACTGGCAATGCTTCTCCAGTGGAATTCTTTGCATTTATCACTGCTCCTCACAGTGTCTGTTGCTTTGCCGTTAAACTGGAAAACTCACACCGTCTTGGCACAGCCTTGCAGTTAATCACACCTTTGTAAGGTCACCTCTTTCCTGTGCTTCCAAGCTTACTGGTGAAGTTTCAGTACATCTGTAGTTATCATTGCTCAACTCTGCTTTCCCCTGAAAATTACAGGATGTCTTTAAATGACTCCGTTCCATTTCAGCTGCTTTCCTTTTCTGGGAATGTTCGTTTTGAACTAGTTGGCCACTTCATTGCTGCTTTGCAGTGGGAGGTTTTCTTTCAGATTAGGAATGAATGCATAATTCTCTGAGATTACAGATCTGCTCCTTGCAGACGTGACGTTATTGTTGGGAGAGCTGTTCTGAGCCATGCCCAACCCTTCATCTTCAGGTTTTTGGTTCTAGCATTTGACAGCAGGAATGCTTTTGGACAGTTCTGGAATTACTTCAGAGTACACAGAAATACTTTGCACTGTGCCCATGCAAATGTTGTGGAATGGTGAACACAACTATTTTTCTGTTGCACGTTGCAGTTAATTAAAGACAGGCATTGAGCAGTGCTGGGGTTGCACTTTAGCTGTTGTCTTGTATCGCTATAAAAAGGCAGTAATTTTTTTGACAGCCTCTGATTGGAAAGTTGCTTGCAGCTTTCTGAAAGCAAGGGGTACATGCTCTGGATCAATAACTGGCAAATTTTCCATTAAAAAGAATACCTGAACAATGTTCCAAATAGCCACTGGCATCTTAATTTTCCACGGAAACCTCAAATGCTCATATGTGGAGGACAAGTCATTTTCAGACAATTTTTCCAGACTACTTGTTAACAGTTATTGCTGTCCCAAAAGGTTGACAGCTTACATGATTGATATTTCATTTACTTGTCATCACAGGTTGAGTAATGGAGAGGGCCACGCTTTCCTCTCTCCCTTTTTTTTTTTTTTTTGGTAAGAAATGTAGTTCTGTGTATGTTCATTTTAATTTATTATTCTGGAGAGTATGTAATATCTGTTTATACTGTATGTATATGTCTCGAGGTCACAGAGTTGACACCAGGAAAGTAGTAGTTAAAAAACAAACAGCAAAAAGAACCAACTTTGTGTTTTCTTGAGCAGTTATGGCCTAACTATTGGGTTCAGGTAACATAACTATTAGGTTCAGGCGATGTCTTTTTATAAATGGGAATGAGGGCATGGGAGTGGGTCTGGCTTGTTATTCGTGGCCACCCACAATACAAAATAGGGCTGCAGGTAGTCCTGACTCTCAGAAAAACCCCACCGATTATTTCAAAGCAATGGGCTTCTGTAATGAATAGCTTTGCTCTGTATAAACAAAGTGAAAGCATGCATCGTGGGGTTGTTTAAGATGTGGATTTATATGTTTACATACTACTATGAGCAAGATACCCTCCTCAGTAATCTTGTGGTGAGACTTTAATGAGGGAAATGCTTTAAGCAGCAGGCGTTGTGCTAAATGTACACACAGGAGGTGGGGCTGGACGGATACTCATGCCCTCAGCAATTTGCTTCGGAACGATTTCTTTTTTACAAGAGGAAATTTCTTCCTGTTTCTTAGCATGAATTAATAAAAAAGAAAAAAAAAAAAAGAGAAAAGAGAAGTACTGAAATGTTTATTTCTGTGAAGCTGTTGGTCTGTCGCAGCAGGTCACGGTCTTTGTATTGTAAAGAAACAGAATGAGCTTCTGCACACAAATTGACCGTGGTGCCCATCTAAAAATCTACTTAGTGTAGTTCACATTTTTTAATCCCATTATCAAAGAGTGAAACATTCTGTAGCGTTCAGCAGCTAGTCAACTTCTTGCATTTTTTAAGTTGTATAAGTAAAGAATGCTTGCGCTGTGGGAAATCATTGGTGTGAGCAAAATACTCCTTTTTCATCCAGACTTAGAATTTTTTTTCCTGTTGACATCCAGTCTTGCCAATTTGAGTAATAGTATCACCAGAAGTGGTAACAGTGACATTCTGAAGTCTTAGACCACACTCAGCTGGTGAGAATTAGCATGAAAGTCAGTGGAGCTGTGCTGATTTATGCCATGGAGATCTGGACCACCGCCAGCATGTTTGCTTCAAAGATGCACGGGGATTGCTGAAGAAATGTGCTTTGTGATGTGCTCTTGATATTTAACACATCGTGGTGAGAGATGTGTGATTTACAGGCAGTGCCTGGGGAAAGGTCTGTCTGCTGCCCCCGGGGCCACTTTGCTTTGTCACTGGTCACACGGTTCTGTGTTCTGTTTGGTGGGTGCTCACTGCTCCTTGAGGAAGGTTGGCTAATAAAGGTTTTATTCAATCCAAATATTCATCTCATTGCTTAATGCCACTGTTCATCCTCATGCCACATTAGGTGTTTTCTATTTTCCTAAATATTGATGTTTTCATCTTGTCCATGCTCAGCTTTTCTTTAGCAATGTGCTTTCCCTGCAGATTGCTCCCAGTGGTCCCAGTAGAACACAAGTGCAGTAGTCCAAGGTCTCCTGATGGCTGCTGTGGTTTTTCCACACCCTACTGTGCATTAAATGAAAACAGCAAGGGACTGCATGACTTCTCTGCCTATGTGGCATGTGGCCCCAGTTGCCCTGGCCATGCTTCAGCTCTGCAAATTCTTGGATATCTTTGCAGATTCTTTTCTCCCTTGGAGTTTCCTTAATGTCACTTTTTTCTTTCCCTTGGACTATATTTATTTCCTCGTTTGACTAGTTTTCCCAACTTCTCCAGGCATGGCAGCTGCTGTGTTTGCTGTCAATGTTGCATTTGCTCAGTCTGCTGCAGTGTGCCCAGGTTTCAGGTGAGCCTGAGATTCACATCGTTGAATGAGGAGCAGATTCCTATGCTGCTTGTTGCCACCCTTTGGTTGTGTTCCTTTCATTCCACTTCACTGTGTGAGCACTACAAGTGGTGAGGAAGCATTGCAGAGGCTGATATCTATAATGGCAGTAAAAAAATGTACAGTGAATTAAACAATCCATAAGTGCACTTACTACTGTTCGTACATTACTGAGTAATCTCTTTTTTTAATCTCTTTGCAGTATTACTCCACTGTAATGGAACAGCAAGTAAATGGACAGTTAATAGAGCCTCTCCAGATATATCCAAGAGGTAATGCTTAACAAATTCTAATCAACAATGATTATATCAGTAAACTGTTTCATCAACAGTTATGTTTTCGAGAGGTTTAAATGCACATAACATGATGTTTACCTCTTAATTTGGATACAAGAATTCATTATTGTGGGGAGTGTAGTGAAAACTACATTTATTGCATATAAAATAGCTAATTTACTGGAGTAAATTAGACTAACAAGATTCAGTTTGCATAGTACATATTTATGTACATTTAAGAAACTCATTGACGATAGTTCTGCTTGTATTCAAACCAAAGCAGATGAATAATTTAATTTTTGGGTGCTTAGAAAGATTGGATTTTTTTTTTTATGATTTTGCTATATATTTTAACATGATTAATCATCCTAACAGACTTGGGGAATGTGACGTGTCACTGTTAAATGGGATCCTGTCTATCACAGAAGCTCCGTGTGTGACGTTTGAGATTTGGGCAGTTAGTGCGGTATCATCGCGATCACAAGTGCTTTAATAATTCTCCAGAACAGAGAAAGGTGCAATCAATTATGCAGGCTGAGGCCATTGAAAAATAGGTCACTCCGTCCTGAACAAAAATCCGTAGGCAGCTGGCCAGGTTTTTGGGAACGTGCCGCGCTCTCTGAACTCAAGTAATGGTTTAAAAAAAAGAGATGAATCCATTACATAATTCCACGGATTCATTCAGATTCTCTCAGTATCCAGTCTTTGAATCTGGCTCTTAATTGATGAAACAGATAAGCTTTAAATTCTCCAAGTAAATCTCCCAGCAATAAATTAATTGAAATAATTAAAAATTAAACTACTCTCACTTAACTGATATTATACAAATAATCATACCATGAGTTTCCCAATTAAACATTCTAGACTTCCATTACTTACAACTCTCTGAAGTTTGAATTGGGCAATTAACCAACACTCTTCTCAAGCACGTGCTAATAAGGTCTCCAAAGGAGGCTGGGCTTCCGAGCTAAAAGAGGTCTGGATGCAAGGGGAATGCAGAAGGGGTACAGCTCAGGATCACAGGGTCTGGCTGAGGGGTGCCCCTTAATGCAGAGCAATTGAGTACCTCCTTAAGAATATTTTGCCAGGAGAAGCTCAGTAGCTGGCATGGCTGTGTGTGAAAAGGGGCCTTTCTGAGGTTACAAATCAGGCTTAACCTTTTACGTTCTCCTTTGGGGGTAATTGGGTTGTTCCTGAAAAAGCAGCCCAATGGATTCCTGTTCCTTCTGCTGGCTCCTTTTTTGTTTGCTTTCCATCCAGAGGTGATGATCTTTGACTGTGCAGATCCAGCATTCATTGGCGTGCTGATGATGGCCCTTAGCCACCATTGGCTCAACCACGCACATCTCCCTGCAGATGGCTTGCCATTACTCCTCTAAATTGCTTCAGAGCAGAGTTGCTGCTTCACCTTGACGCCTCATCATTGACACGCAGCCTTTCTGCTTGTAACTGAAGGCTCTCCCTTTTTAAGAGCTTTCTTCCCAAGCCCTCTCTGCCCTTTCAGCCTTCCTCTGACTTGTGGGGAAACCTCCAAGAGCTCCAAAAACCCCACAGTCAGCCATCAGCCACAGCCCACCTGCTGTTCCGTCTTATCTGGGCTGTGCTCTTCTCAGTTAATAGTTCTAAGGTCTTTCAGGAAGGAAAACTGTTATTTAGTTTATTTTGCATATTTAAATTATATTTAAAGGTAAACATCATGTTATGTGCATTTAAACCTCTCAAAAACATAACTGTTGATGAAACAGTTTATATATATATCTGTATATATATATATATATATGTGCATGCACACACAAATGTTGACTATGTTATATACATACATATATATATGTGTGTGTACATACAACATACAGACATATATACATACTCTGACTTTGTGTTCCATGGAATTGATATAGACTCTGTATGTATGTGTTCATATAATAGTATATATGACATATATAATTCAAATGTAAGTCAGAAAAATACCAGCTTCCTAAAATTTAGTTCAAGATGTTGATTTTCATCTCATGGGGGAAAAATATTACAATATCCTTCTGTGTGTTTTAGAATAGCTTCTTGTTTCCTGATTGTTGTTTGAGGTTTTTTTCTGCCCACAGTTGCATACTGTTTTCCTTCTCTAAGGCACACGTGGTAATTCCTAATGTCATTGAAAGGCACGTGGCCCAGCTTGGCCCTAACTGATGTGTTTAATAACTATCATCTGTGTCCTTCTGACTAATAAATAGTTCTGTTTCCTGCTGTCAAAAATGGAAGTGAAATGCATCTGCATCGGAGAAAGAGAAAAATCAAATCCATCCCTCCTCAGACAATCAATCAAAAGTGACAGGCCCTTTAACATGCCATTTGTAGGGCACTGTAGTTTGGAAATGGGAACTGTCTGTAACATGTAGCTAGGAGCCTTCATGGCTTTAACGTTTGACAAAAGCACATCCACTGAAAAGGGAAACGAGGCAGCGTGCCGTTCCGGAGACTCAAGGAAATGCCTTCTCCTCGAGCAGCCTGCTCCTCTCTGAGCCCAGATGTCACAGTGAGGTGCCACATTTGTACATCTGTAGCCAAAAGTGGCATTTTGTACAGCTTGTATCCACTATTTGGTTTCTTGAGGCTCGCTGCTGTTGCCCTGATGTGTTTTTTCCACATTTAGAACAAGCTGTGTTTGACAACACGGCTAATTTATGACACGTGGCAGCTCGGTTCCTTTAAAACACGTCTTGCAAATATTTCTGTTAAATGTCAGACAAATACAGCGCATAGAAATATAATGACATAAGATATTGATTTTAATTTGAATTACAAAAAGAATTTGATAATTTAATCCAACGGTTCTCTGAATTTTGATGTGTTTTAAGCAGAAATTAGAATTTATATTACATGGTGTCAGAAAGCTCTTAGCATTTATAAATGCTCACTCCTGCAAGTTAAAAATCCTGGTTCGTAATTCCCACTCTGGGTCTTGGGAGGCACTTTTCAATCATTTCTCTCTGCTAATTTTGGTGTCACCCTCATTTCTTTTTAAAAGATTCATTTTGAGCAAATTTGTAAATGGCCCTGATGTGTTCTACAATTTAGTCAATTACTGTTTCAGCCTGCAAGCCTCCTGGGAAACGGAACATACATGGCCTGAAGGTACGAATTTCAATAATTGTTTCAGTAAAGTTAGATGGATTTGTAATGCTGTGTTCCACTTATTGAAATGTCAAATAAAACTGCACTTTCTTGAGCTCTGACAAGCAGATTTTTTGTGTGAGTGTGGGAGAGCGATTCATCTGCTGGGTGTTGGCTGTGGTGTCTATATATACAGTTTTAATAAAGATGGAATTGCTGCTTTTTTTTTTTTTTAAAGCACTGTTTGTAAGGTTCTTAAATTTTAATATTCAGTTTATTAACTGATGTCTGCTGCTAGTTCAAAGGGTTGGAAGCAAAAATAGCACGCTCATTTGTTCTCAGTGATATAGCTGAATATGGGGCCCACTGCAGGGCCATCTTTGGGGTTGTTTGGTTCATTCAGGTCCACACTGACTGCTCCTGAAATGCAGAGCACTGCCAACATATTGATGGATCGTTCAGATTTTAAGAATAAATGGTGGGCTCCCATCTCTTTCTGTTTTGTCTAACTAAGTGTGTAAGAGAGAAGGATTGTGTTTTGTAGTCCGTGGGTTGTATAGCCTGCTAACCTACATACAGGCACGACCTCAACCATCGGCATGCCTAGCAACAAGCTAATTAACCTTCGCAGTGAAATGAGAAATTCATGGCAAATTACAGGTTAATTAGAATAGTGTCCTCTGAACACAAACGACTGATAAAGATTCTTTCCCTGCCTGCAGGTAAATACACGAGCAGGGTCTGCTAATAATAGCAGTTCTGCAGTCTCGGATTCTCTCCCAAGCAATAGGTAAGAGTCAAGAATGGGAGCATGTGTTTTGTTTTCTGTTCTCGAAACAAAATGGAACCTATGCACAGCACTCACCAGCCATAGGCTTGGTGTTGAGTAAGTGTCTCAGTGTGACAGCTGGGCACACCGAAGCACGGCGGGGAGGGGGCAGAATTAACTGTGACTCATGGACCTTGCTGGGCTCACATTGCTGGTTGTTAGGAAGGTTTTCCACCAAAGAAATACTGTGCTGGGTGTTTCAGGTGGCTTTGTCCTTTATATGAAGTGCTGAGATACTGTTTATGGGTGAGCTACTTTAACTGATGCAGCTGTCACTATGCATAGCAAAGTCTGTATGTTCAGGTCTTCGTTGCTTATCTCATTAGGATTGTTTGGTTTTCAAATTTGATACCTTGTTTGGTATGTTTGTAATTGTGGGGTCAGCTTTTGTGAGAACCCAAACAGCTCAGGTGCCCTGTGACATGCAGCTTCAGCAAAGCTTTCAAGTCTCTCTCTCTTTTTTTCCTTTATTTATTTGAGCCCTGGTTTCAAAATCCATATTAAGGTCTTAAAATGCAAGAAAATGCTTTCTCCTTTCCATGGGTCTGTCTTTAAACACTGGAGCATGAACTCACTTTTATTACATGAATTGTTACAGGAAGGTGTTATACTCAATATTGATTTTTATGATATATAATTTTATATTTATACACACACATATAATTAAAAAAAACACACACACACACGCACAAAATGTATTCTTAAAAGGAAATAAGAAAAATCTTCTTCCTCTATCTTCTTCACATAAGAGCATATTTGAAACACGGGAATAGAAACCTCCAGAGGTCCCTTCCAACCTAAATTATTCTTTGATTCTAATAAGCATATGCCGTGTGCTGTTGCACTGAGCTGAGCTTCAGCACAGCTTTTATCTCTGAGACTATTTTGGAAATAAGTGACCAAGAGGAAGGAGCCCAGACACAGTCCCACTGCTGGGCTGGGAGGTGCTGGTCCCAGCAGTGATGGGGTGCAGTGATGGGGCCATGCTGGGGCTGGGACATGGCACGTGGCCTTGTCAAGGACCACTCCGACCAGCCCTGGTGCTGGTTGGTGGCTTAGATGCCATCCGTGGCTTCCCAAGGAAACAAATAATGTCTATAGGAGCATCTTTCTGAGCTGCAGTCCTTGTCCCAATCCGTCGTACTGCTGCACTAAATAAAGCTGCGTTCTGTCACTGCTGTGCTTTTGCTTTCAGCCCTTCCTGTACTTTGAGCTTGTTCTTAAAGTGCATTGAAAACGAGGCTTCTAGAAGGTTCTTGTCACCTTATTTGGTGGTTAATTGCCATTCCTTTTCTCAAACCTTCTGCACTATGAGTTTTGTTTTTGAAGTAATTGAAAGTCTCTCTTTGTTTCATGTTCACAAATTGTTAGTCATGAAAGATGACAAGATCAACTTATGTTTCCTTGGGAAACTTAATTTTTCTTTAAAGTAGTCGTGGGAACAAGAGGCCTATTAAAGAACAAAGCCACCAAATACGAAATCTGTGTTTTCAGTGTTCTTGTTAATAATGATCTGTGATCAAGACATGTGTGTGTGCCTTTCAAGAATATATTATTTTGTACTTTTTTTTATATATACTTGGGTAATAAGAGCAGAATGCCTCTTTGAGAGAAATTTTGCAGAGGTGCTGCTCGCAGGCAGCTTGGTGTGTGGAATGCACAAGGAATGCAGATAGAAGCAGAGAAGCGGTGTTTTGGGGTGGGCAGAAGTCATCTGAAGCTGTGGCTAATTTTCACAGCCACCAGCGTGGCACGTTTCCATGGGGTTTGTTAGAGGTCTCTCACTAGAAAATAAATAGAGATCATTTTGCCTAATTTAAAGCTGATGCTGGGGCAGCTTCCCCTGAAAAATAAAGGGGTCTGCAGCAGCCATGAGAGCTGGACTGGATGCACACAGCAGTGGGGACTGACCCCCTTCCTTTAGGGACTGGCATCATCCCTTCTGCTGAAATGTTATAGAAATTAGTGAGGTTCTGAAACAAGGTAGGGCACCTGGAGGCCAGGGGTGAACCCTGTGTTTGCTGTTGTTTTTGAAACATCTGGTTTGTGAGCAGTTCTTCCTTTTTTCCTTTTTTTTTTTTTTTGAGCTGACAAACAGTGGGTTCTATCTCAAAGGACACTATTGCCACATATCTAAAAGCACTTGTTTATTAAGGTGAAAAATATATTGATTCTCTCAACTATTAATGCTTTTCCATTTCTAAATGAACAGCACCACTCAGCACTGCTAGTTAAATCTGCTCAGATTGTGTAACAGTGGGCTGAAGCTGATGCCTTCTTTTCAGTGTGGTTTTCCTTCATTTTGTGGAGTGAAATGACACAATCATTAAAATTAATTGCTGCTTTTTTTTTTTTTTTTAAGCTTAAAAAAGTCCTCTGCAGAGCTGAAGAAGATACTTGCTAACGGGCAGGTAGGTGCAGTGTGCTGGATCTTGGCTGCAAGCACATCTTGTTGCTGCTAATGCCATGGTGACTGGCACCTCACATATAGATGGAGGGATGCTTACTGCTCACTTGGTTGTAATGCATTCTTTTAATACAGAGCTGGAGAGACCATGAAAACTTTCTTGATATGAATGAGTTATGTGTCCTAGTTTACTTTGATTGGCATAGCAATTTGCTTCCCATTTCTCAAAATGTGCTAATCAGATTTAGCTCTGAATAGATTGAAGTACCTCACACATGTTGCACTGCTGCCACAATTTCAGGGAAGAAAGTTAATCAATTTTGAATAACTAAGTCAACTGCTGGAGTGACCTTCGTATTTTTAGGGCAGTAGATACTTAAATATGGGTTCTTGCAAGGAAGCTGTTCTGCCCTATTTGCAGTCCTTTTATCCTGCAGCTCCTTTAAAAGCAGCAAACAAGCACACAAGCCTCAGAACGACAACAAAACCGAAGCTGTAGAATGCTGCCTTGTTACTTTCTCATCGTGCTCCAGGCATTCAGGTGCTGGCAGCCAGAAGTGAAAGGTTTAATGTAAAAGCTGATGGGCAGGGGAATGTCTTGAGCAAACGGAGCATCATTTCTTACTCATTTTGAACCGAGCACCTGGACAGGCTCACATAGTGCAGTGACTTTAAATATACACCATTAAATTAAAGTACCTTAGAAGAATCCCAGATTCTTCAGTAGCAACATAAATATATTTTAATGTTTGTCATAGCAAAAGCCCTTTGATAGCCTTGGAGGCAGGCACCTGTCCGTTGCGATCAAGCTTGCCTATTAGGCTCTATTGACTGAGACATCTGTGTCACTGCAAATAAAAGACTCTTATTGATTTTCTTAACTGCTGTTCACTTCCCCTCCATGTTTCGAAGGCTGAAATCTTAATTATCTCAGATGCGTATTCAGTGCCTTCACACAATGACCTCTCCAAGCCTCATTGGCATTTCATGAATCAAGTAGTTGTAGTTGAGCGTGTCAAGAAGATAAAGGCTGGTCTTCACGCTTGTCCTTCAGTATCACCTGTAACATTATGGTCTAATAGATGAGAGTGCCCCTTTAAAATGTGAGTCTAACAGCCCCGAATTGCAACCTTGCCTGTTTGGTGCTGCATCCTTTGAGTACAGCTTGGGAGTGCATTTTCAAGCCTGTCAGCGTTCCTTATGTCTGCACATGTGGTTTAATATTCACAGATTTTTTTACTGGGTAGACTTATTAATGTTCCAAAACTATAGCTAAAGAACATAATTCTGTGGCTAACTTAAAGTGATGTAAAAGCCAGCATACTTCTGAGCTTTTAAAATGGAATGTGATGATTACTCCAATATTGTACCTCCTGTCTTGGAATACTATTCTGAAGTAGAAATACTGAATATGAGTAAAAGCTATTTTCTTGTGATTGTGTCCATAAGCTGAATTTGGCATTTAACTCATTCTGAGCAACAGAGATGAGCACACTGTGTGCCCTGCAATAGACTGCTACAGATTTCTTTCCTGTGCAGTAGGATTTGAGAAAGACAGAAAAGAACCAAAAATCTTACATAAGGAGTTACTTAAACCCAAAGAAAATTCAGAGTAAGTTTTAATCTTTTATTTAGCCTGCTCTGCAGAGGTGCACACAGTCTGTCAAGAGAGAATGCATTATGTTCTGAATAATTTGGTCACAGATCTGTAAGTGGGAATAGGTTTCTAGTTATAATCTTAACTTTTCCTCCTTTGGGTGATTGCATCACACTTATCGTTACTTAAATATGGGTTGGGCTGTTATTTTTTATTATTTTTTGTCAGCTTCTGCTTTCGGGCATTCATAATGATATCCCTCTCGTAGTTTCCATTTAGGTTTAATAAGGAATTCATATTAATCATTAAAAGAAGGGGACATGATTCTTCAAGATAATCAAATATTGACAGGTTAGAAATAGCTTTCTGCCCAGGTTCATTGATATAGGTGATGTGATATAAATATTTATTTCTTTTCTGTCACTCAGAGTAAATGCCACCAATTGATTCAGCATTGATATAGTGTCAACAGTTCATAAGAAACATTTGACTGGCTCGTGTTTTCCGATTAGTCTCTGCTCTATAAAGTGGGATTTACTAAATCTCTTCAATTGTCTGCTCATAGAGTGTGACTGCTTTCTGAAACCATTATTGCTTCGATTCCTAAAGCAAAGGTATGGCTACAGGACTTTGCCTCTGTCGGCCTCTACAAATAAAATAAGGATTAATTGAGCATTTTGCTTTTAATGATTTACAAGAGACAGATGCTGATTTCTTTCAAAAACATCAGGCATAAACGAGGGGCGTTTTGTTGCTGATCCGTAATTGGAGTCTGGTTTGCTTTTCCATTAATTCCATTAATATTGGCATCCAATCAAACTTGATTTTGCAGCTTTAATATTCCAGCCCACGCCGTCGAGTTCATTGCTGTTATGTTATCATTTTGTGATTGAGAATCCAGTTTTCCCAGTCAAATAAATAAATCACAGCACGTTTTTGGCACCTTTATTTGAGCCAGTAAATCACAGTTTCTCTCTGCTCCTTTTGCTGGCGGGGCTCACGGCACCTTCCCCATTGCCCGGCTCTTTGTGCAGAGCCCCAGAAGGAGATGCACTTTCTTCCCACTCAGAAGGAGGAGGAGAAACGAGAACGCACTTTATGTCTCTCGTTCTGCTCAATTTATTGCTTAAAACTTGCGTAGCTACAAAAAAAAAACTTCTTTTTCCCCCAAGAAGCAAAGATCCAAGCGTGCTCTTAGTGTGGTGGATTCGTTTGATTTCTCCTAAGAGTTTTATTTGTGAGAACTTTGTTGCGAATATCGGAGAAACGTGTTTGTTGCTACCTCCAAGAGTGGAGGATTAAAGAAAGCCTTAAACACCAAACGTGCTTTAAATTAATGGGTTTGGCAGCCTGAGAGAAGTTACTTTTAAAGCATAGGACCCTGGTATGTATTCTTCACTTATTTTAAACTCCATTCATGAATTACTGCTTTATGAAGTGCCTTAACCTTGGCATTTCAGTGGGCACGTTCATACCATTTGAAGGTACCTGGCCCAGGTTGAACTACAGATAGGTAATAATGCAGGGTTTACTTGGAGGTATTTCTCATTCTCTCAGAACTCAGAGATTTTGCCTCACTGGACGAAATGCATTGCAGGAAGTGTTTCTTGTGGGAAACAAGCAGGCTCTACTCAGGTACTGAAAGAACAGAACACAAGTTTTGGAGTTCAGCTTTCCTGTCCTTATAAGGTATAAGGACAGGCTATAAGGACTGTCCTTACAAGGTATAAGGTAATAAGGCTATTTTAAATCAACTAAATATTCCATTTCTACTGCTAAGATGTGCTGAGTACCGACTGGGGCATTTCAGCTCATTGACACCACTTATTTGTTCCAGCTGAAGCCAGGGCAAAGTTCCTCTTATCTCACTCACATCATATGGAAGTTGTATCATGGGGTTTTCTGTTGGAAGCCTTTGCCAACTTGTGGTGAACATTAAACTTGGTATCCTGAGAAATACATGACTTACACAAATTAATGATTTGGTCACAGATTGCAAGGGAAATACCATTTAGAAATGGGAATTGCCCAGTTATCTGCAGAGAAAAGGCTATAGAGGAGATCTTTTGGATTAGAAAATGCATATAGCACAGAACTTATTCTGCTTTGAAGGTCTCTTTTTAGTAGGCATGGGCATTACAAAAAACATCTCCAGTGATTGTTTTGTTAGGTGACTTAGCCTGAGAATCAGTATAGCTGCATTTGTGTATTGAACTTAGTTCTTCATTTGAGTTGCTCAACCATCAGGGTGGTGGTGGTAAACTTTTGTGAAAATTCATAGCAGAAAAGTCACAAATTCCAGCATTTCCAGTGTGTGGTGCTTATACCTGGCTATTGCTTGAAGAATTGAGGGTGCTGCCATATCTGGCAAGGTATCCCAGTGAGCGGAGACCAAAGCAAGTGGTTTGTTTTGTATCTCAAGGAAAACTGCTTTTTATTGGATAGCATTTACAGACTATTCTTGCTTCTTCATATTTGCTTTAGTTAGGTGAGTTAGTTGTGTATGAAAATTAAGCACTGCGAAGTAATCCTGCTGGCAGAACTGTCCTTCACTTAGCATCAATTAAGCTGATTCCAGAATCAATCAGGAACTTTTCTAGCCATGCTTAAGATGACAGTTTTTCTGTTGGATTGTTTCCATTCACCTCCAACTTTGGCTTTGGTTATGTGCTGTTCTGGAGACCCTTTTCCTATCAGTTATCTGTGACCTGACCCTCTTCAGCTATATTATATCATTCCATTTTGACACCTTTTATCAAACTTTAATGAAATGACCCAGGCAAACAAATTGTCATTAAACTTTCCATCACTTTGTCCCTTGGTATCGTCTTTTATAAATTGGACAGCAAATGTTGTATTGATCTTCTCGTTCTTGCAGCTGAACTTGAAATGACCCAGACTGCTTGTTGTTTATGGCCTAGAGTTGCTTTTCCTTGACATTTCCATCCACAGCATGACATCTCTTTTGTTTTTCTTTCTTTCTTGTGGAGATGAATGAACAAGACATACGGTATCGAGACATCCTCGGTCATGGCAATGGAGGCACGGTCTACAAGTGAGTGTTCAATTTCATTTCACATTTTTGAAAATAACATGTAAGTGCTTCTCTTTTTTTCTCCCTCCNNNCCCCCCCCCCCCCCCCCCCCCAGTCATATATGCAGTGAGATGTAGGTGGGCCGTTACAGCTATGCAGAAAAGGCTATAAAAGAAATTCTTAATATAAACTTCTTAAGAATTCTCTTTACATATTTACAAGGTATCTGCTTTTGGGCGCCGTGAGGGCTGGTGCATTTTTATAATCTTTATAATGCTTAGCTTGGAATCCCCCCTGGGTAACAAGTTAATGGTTCACAAGTGGAACTTGAAATGTCCTGAAGCATAATGAATTGCCTTTGGTGTTTGCAGTGCCATTACTCTTGCTGGCTCACCACACCCTGTGCAGCCTGGTGCTGAGTGACACCAGTGGGACATGGTAACACTATGGCTGTGCCTCTTTCCGGCAGTTCTAAATTAGTAAATACCCCTCTCGCTGTTGCAGTGACTTCTTTCCCCTATGAGAAGCTTCACACGCAGGCTGATGAATACATTAAATGATCAACTCCCCCAAATTTTGGTGGTGAAGCTTATACCCTGCAGCCAATATTAATTTTAATATTGTAAAGATTATAATAGCAGAGAGATAGTTTTCTCGACAGGAAAGTCTTTCTCATGCATAGTGCAAAGTTTAAACTACATAATGTAATATCTGGTACTTAATAGTCTGCAGTGGTGTATGAAAAATATTCCGCTAGGAATTAAGAAATCCATACTTTGTATGAAAGCCCTGAGGGAGTAATAAAGGTTTCCTCCGGAGAGCTATTTACCATATACAGTAACCCAGCATCCCATTAGGATTTTGTTTATACCTTATACATTCGAACTTTGATATTAACATTTTCTAAAAAATGTTTTAAAAGCTACGGTGCATTTAGCTTAATTTGTGATGGGCTGCCAGCGTAATGAACAACCCGCCTAGTTCTTCCTGCAGAAGTTCTAGCAGGAGTGGACTTGGTTAACCTCAAAGGGACAGCAGTTGTGTTTGAATGGACTCTTCAGAAATTAGGTTAGCCTTGCAGATGGAATGAAGCTCATTCACCTTCTCTTGGGGAAAGATATTCCTAGATCAAGCAACTAGCACAAACAGGGTTCTTTTCTTTATAGTAACATTCGGAGTTGGACTCGGTGATCTGTGTGGGTCCCTTCCAACTTGGCACATTCTATATGATTCTGTGATTGTGAGAGAGAGCATCAACTGCACAGCTCAGCCTGTGATGCCTTGATGTTTTCTGGCTTGGGGAAGGTTCCTCCCCATTCCCATACACTGCTGCAGCTCCAGCTGTGGATGGGAGTGAGAGAAGTGTGGTCCAGGGGGGCTGTGTTCCCATGTAGGGAAAAGAAATAGCCCACAAAGGGGGGACCCCTCTTATATTATCGTTGCTAAATTTGGCATGACTTTCTTTAGCTACTTAACTGAAATAGGAGTTAGCAATGTGAAACACTGAACAGCATAAGGATGGCCCTACCAGCTTGTACCAAAAATCTCCTTTGTCCTGCGTCTGATGGTGGCCAGAGTCTAAGGAATGTAAAGTAAGGCAAGTGAATGTGTGCTTTGCTGCTCTTTTTGCATTCAGATCTCCTGAACTTGGCATCTCTCAGTCAGTGTAGTGTGCCCTGCTCCCACGGAGCAGCTCTGCTCCCTCCTTGCTGTGTGTAACAGCCTGCCAGGCAGCACAGTGCCTTTGGGTGCAGAAATTGACATAAAAATACCTCTTCCTCTATAACTCTGTCACGTGCACTGTATGTACTCCACCTTTTGTAAAATTCATATGAGAAGTTTGGTTAAAATGCTGTATAAAGCCAAACGTGCACCTGTAGGCTTTGTATTTCAGAAGGGCAGGATAGTTACCTGCCAGCTCTTTGTTTCGTGTTCTTACACAAATGGTTTCCTCATTCACTGACTCTTCTAGTAACAGTCTGCAGCAGTGGGGAAGCACCAGAGGCGAGAGCATTGGAGTTGCAGAGGATAATAGCACAGGAAGGAATGCAGGATTGTTTGGGCTGCTGCCGTGATTTACTTCCTTAAGTTTTTTGAGTGTTGGTTGCAATTTGGGAAAGTCAAAAATCAGACCTGTAAAAACATGAGACCTCTTCCCCACCAGGGAATTGATTCAGTCTTTCTCTTTTTACTGCGTTCACATTTTAAACTGGTGATTGCAGTGACTTTGCAGTGTTCTCTCCAGTGTAGATACCATTCTTCACGGCTCCAGGGAATGGGCACCATTTTTGTGCGAGTCATTTGCACGTTCCTGAAGTCTGACTTTTCTTTGCAATGCAAATACTATGAAATATTTATATTCTCCTATTTCCTCCCCAAGCTGTGCTGCTCCAAAGCTTTGTGTTCCTCTCAAGCCTTCCCACATTTGTTTCCTGTTGTGCTGGATTGAAGAGTTGCACCAGGTGACTCTTACATCCCAGAAGAGCTGCCTGTTGCCATTGCTGCAAGGAGCTGCCATTCCCTGTGCTTTGTGAAAAAGCAGGTAGACCTTCTCCCACCATAGCAATCCCCCCTTGGTGTGGGGAGCCCAATCCCCTGGCTGGAGGAGCAGCCGTGCTGCACAAGCCAGTAAGGAATTGCAAAATGGAATACTTACAGGTACCTGGATTGCACTGGTCATAGAGAGCAGCCCACATAGATTTTATTCCACTAAATCAATGAACATTTGTCAAATAAAATTAATTGCAAACGTTTGGCTGTTTTCCTCTTCCAGCGTTCCTTGCTGTCGGTTTGTTTCAGAAGAGGCTGTGTGTAGTATTGATTGGGATCTAAAGAATGACTGTGTGCATGTAGCATCTTTTTCTTTCTCCCCTTTCTTTCTCCCCAGCTCTTTATACTAAGTCATATCCATTATGGCAATGATATATTATCAGCATTCAGCAAACAAGATAGCGTGTCGCAGGTCGCTGAGCAAAAATTTTCTGCCCCTCTTTCCACATGAATTAACTACTATTGAAATAGTTTATTGAGATTGAAGTATTGATCACTTTTCATGCCAACCTTGGCTTAAGTGGGGAGCAGAGAGGTATTTTTGTTCTCTTTGGAAGACGCTATGTTTAGTTAGAAAATTTGCTTCATTTGTTTGGGTTCTTTACAGCTGCAACTGTTTTATTGCTTGGAGAAGAGGTGTCTTAGCTTCATTTTTATGACAGTATAATTATACTTTAGAAATACACTTGATTACTGTGTGTAGCAAAATTGTTCCAGTATATTGGCTTGGCCGATATTGCTATACAAACAACTTTTCAGTCAATTGAGTCTGGTAAAAAATCAATACTTTATAGCAATATTTCTAGTGAGAACTTGCTGAATCTAAATGTTTTTCCTTTTCTAAAAAGAGAAGGGATTTTTATAGTTCTTTGACCTCCTGTTTTTCCCCTAGATTTTGATACAGTATTTTCGTAATTGAAGAATGATTATAAAATCGTGGAATCATGAAGGTTGGAAAAGCCCTGTGAGGTCCCCAACCCCACCCCACCATGGCTTCAGTTCACGTTCCTCAGTGCCACATCCCTGCAGTTCCAAACACCCCCAGGGATGGTGACCCCCCCGCTCCCTGTGCTGCTGTGCAGTGCAGCACCGCTCTTGCAGAGAGTAAATTGTTCCTAATATCCAACAGCTGCAGTGTTAGATATGGCAAAGTCGTTTAATTATTCTTTTTGTTTGTTTGCATGTTCAGGAATGTGTGAACGTGCAGCAGATCCAAGGCTATATATTCAAATATATATTGTCTTTGAATACACAATCAAAAAGCAGGAATTCTTCCACTGGTGTGCAGTGGAAGCACGTACCCTATCAAGAAAGTGGTGAAATCTGCCACAGCAAAGGCAGGAAGCACCCCAGAACCTTTCTCTTCTGCCTCCCATGATTGGAGTTTATTTGCAGTGGGATTTCCAGTGTTTGTGCTGTGTCTGGTGCTGTGGTTCCCTGCGATGGTTACACCGTGCCCACACAACCTGACAGCTTTGCAGCAGACCTTCCAATTCTTTATCAACTAATTGCTAGAAATTGGTAGGATGGAGAATGTATGGTCTGGGCTGCTTCACAGCAGAACACCCATACTAGTGCACTTGGGGTATTAAATTGCTTCTTTAGAGAAAATAATTAACTCGCATACCAAAAGGCATTTGAAGTCTTTACTTCTCAGCAGCATCCTTCAGATCCATCCTTGGCTGCAGAGCTCTGAGAGACTCCTTTTTTTTTTTTTTTTTTAAGACTGTTCCTTTACTTCAATGAGATAAGGTTTCTGATGTGATGCATGGGCAACGTCAGATTGTTTAGAAGAAAAAATACATGATTTTGTCTGTTTTGCATCTAAGTGTTAGGCAGTAGATCATGAGCAGATAGTTACAGTTGGAAGTCTCTAACATGGCAGATCCAAAGCATCACTCTTTGCTTCGTTTATAAATAAGCAAGAGGAATATTTTTCTTATCTCATTTTCTAGTGTTTGCTTTGTAATTGTAGTGAATGAGAAAGAAGATATTCTTAGACAATAGTGTAGGTTTGTGCACCTGGGATTGCTTTTTAAGGACGTCTTGTGTATAGTATGTAAGTATGGTATGTAAGTATTCTGGATTCTGTTAGAGGAGTCTTAAAGAGCAGCAAGCTCTTGTACTGTAATAAACATAAAGTCCCAATGATGCTGTAATTAATTTGAGGTTATCTAGAATCTGGAAGAGAGGGAAGGAGAGGAGAGAATGAGTTCTCATCTTAGCAGAATGCTCTTAAACCAGACGCTTCACTTTAAGCTGAGTGATTGGAGGAGAAGCGGCTGCTGCTGTTGTGCCACCTAAATGAGTGGCATAGCCAGGGAAAGTGCAGATAAATGGGGAACTTAATTTGTTCGAGCCATTTACTTGAGCACTACTGCTGCTAGGTTGAGTTGTGCATTCCAACATATGCCTGTGTCTTCATTCTATCTCAGCCAACCTCGGGGTGCCCCATTAGCACGTTAAAGATT